AAGCAGTGGTATCAACGCAGAGTACTCGTAAAACGAGAAAAAATGAAATTACTTGAACATCTTGGAAAACATGCTCATAAGGGTTATCCGACCTGCTGGTTACGAAAATCACATCTGCTTAGCAAGAGAGCTTCATATTTTAGAGTTACGTTGAGAAAAATTTAGAAGGACATGATTTTTCCAGAATTCACCAGCCCTTCTAACTCCTTTGAAAAGGAGTACGCGGCTACTTTCCAGCGCTCCATAATCTACAAAAGAAGTACTATCGAAAATTTCTTTCTGAATGTACTGGGGGCAATACGCGCTGCTTCACACCTTTGCGAAGAAACGTCCGCAGAAAGTTTTGAGAATACTGAAATCGAGATATCAAGGACATTCCGCATACCGAAAGATTTGCCTTGATGAGCTGAGCACAATGCATTTTTCGGATTTAGAAAATATCCACTCCAAAGAAAGTTACGGCGAGTAGAATCTGGAAACGAGTGATTTTTCCAGAATTTACCAACGCTTTTTTCTCTTTTGAAAAGAAGCCTGCGGCAGCTTACTAGCGCACTATAATGCACAAGAAGAGCACTATCGAATGGTGCATACTGGAAGCTTTCAAATTGGATAGGCGCTGCGTTACATACTTGCAAAGGGACCTCCTCAGAACAATTTGAGAAAACTGAAAACAAGATATAGATGACATGACGTATGTAGAAAGATTCGCCTTGACGAGATGAACACAGTGCTGCTTTCGAATTTAGAATATATTAATTCCGAAGGAAGTTATGGCGCTGCATAATTTACGATAATCCGGAATCGCGAAATTTCTGGAATTTCGCGCAATTCCCGTTCTGTGAGTGGTATTGTACATTGCACAGCACGCGCGGCATTCCGCGATATGTGCTTCTCATGCGATTTCCAACCATTTCCCTTTTTCTTCCTGCATTTTGGGACCCGTCATACTTCGCCGAGAGAAGCCCACTTTCACACATATCCATGCAGAATGAGCTGCCCACTTTCACACATATCCATGCAGAATGAGCTGCCCAGTTTCACATATATCCATGCAGAATGAGCTCTTAAACTATACCTGCCCTATTTCTGCTGTGCTCAATGGAATGTGTACGTAGCCTCTGGAATAAGCACACTGAATGGTCCATTTACACTAAAATTCCAGGAAAGAAACTTATATCCCACAACTAGGCACATCCGTATATTGGAAGATGCGCCTCGCCGAGCTGAGTTGAATGGTACTCTTATATATAGAATTCATAAATTTTGAATCAAGATAAGGTCTTTTTTTATAAAAAGTTAGGCGTTGCGCGACAAAGTTAGGTGACTTTTGCCGCTTTTCCGCCGACTTTTGTCGCGCGACGCGGCAAAAGTCACCTAACTTCGGCGGCGCCGCGTAAGTTAAGTGCCGCCGCCATTTTTTTTCACAAATTACGGGTGGTATTGTAATACCAATAATGTTTCGTTCTGGCTCCTGACCTAATGAGCATCCTCAGTCTCAAATGCATTCGAACATTAACACTGGCATCCCAAACTGCTCAAAGCTGTAAATTGAAGTCTCTCATCGTTTGAACGCCACTAAAAATCTGCCGTTTTTTTACTTTTGCGAGGGAATAGCGATTTTTGATAACTCTCTATCTCAGTCTTCAAAGAGGCTCAATAGTAGGCATTCGTGCATCAATTCATTATTATTTGACAGTTTCCTTGGATAAAGATGTATTTTCTGGATTTAGATAGCAGAGGATGCGAAGAACTCAAGTACAAGTATCAATTTGATCATAGCGAAGAGCACAAAATGTCTCAAGCAAAAGCGCATTTCTTCTTGTGAGATTATTTTTTCCGTAGAGAAGAGTTAAAGAACAATGAAAGCATAGCTGTTCAATTGCAGTCTGAATCTAAGACAACTTACACAAGAATTTTGTAAAGTAAAAAGCGCCAATGAAAACTTTTGGACAGTCTGTCTGACCTGAAGTAATTCGATTTAATGTCTAGTCTGTACAAGGTGCTCCAGACTGAAAAATGATGTTTTTTCAATTGCCAGATTTGCCCGTTGGTTTCATGTTCACTACGATACTGTCTTCCTTCAATAATGCCGATAAGTTCAAAATGGAAATAAACGTTTCGAGCAGATCTTCCTTCCTTGCATGTGTACAGTTTTCGAAAAGCATAGGAGCTGTAAGTAACTATACCTTTTTTGACCAATTATTAGGTAAATTTTGATTACAGGATGTTCTCTCTACGAGGGGCTTGTCTGTACTATATTCCAAAGATAACGATCAAAGCGTGATGGCGGTTACCATAGCTGTGAGAGTTGTTAGATACTATCATTCTCCCACGCTTGAGAAGGTTATTACAACGCGAGACGGCGAAGCGCAAACAGAGCGAGTTGAAATGAGGACGGTGCAAACTCAGGTGAGAACTGCAATCAAATCATCCTCGAATTTCAGTTTTCGAAGTAATTTTTCTTGACAAATCTGCCTTCAACAGCTATTCATTTTGCTCTATACGTAGAAACGTATTGTTTGAGCCTCATTTTCATTGTCCAAAATTTTCCCGCATTTTTGTTTAGGTACGAAATTGCGGTACATAGTCATGAAATTGCATGTTTTTTCCGAAACGATGCGTGCGTCCCACAATGAAAATTTCATAGCATAAGCTTCAAAGAGTATGACCGTAAACTTTTAACGTTTTACAAGCGATTAACGTAGAGAACCAAAAAACCGTTCTCGTATCTTTGGCTTATTTCTATACCTCAATTTCTAGCCGTGAGTAAAATGCGGCGACTGTGCATATGAACATCAGATATGAAGTGCACTTTTGTGAACAGGTTCAAGGCTCTTATTGTTAGAAGAGTTATGAATTTTTCGCGTTTTGGGCTATTGGAAGCTTTCAGTTTAGAACTAAATGAGAAAAACTTTGTGCAAATGTTTGGATACTAGCTTGTAGAGTGCTTTGCTTTATCGAAAAATACCCTATAGAGCCTTTCTGAGAATCAAGAAAAGTCGGAGTCAAGTGTAAAAAATCAAGACTACATATCTGAACAACTCGATAATAGATTTTCATCCACTAATTTGAGCACTTTTATGGAATTTTCATTTGAAATATGGCCAGATGCATCTTCCATTTAGAATTGAGGTATAGCTGGCTTTAGCGAATCTTCCACTCATTTAACTACATTTTTGACAGCTAGATTTGCATCGTTTTTCAAGTTACACAGTGAAGCCCATCTTTTTTTTTTGAGGAACAGTAGGTTTTCCCTGTTCAATGCGAACATCTGCATTTTCTCCTCATCCTTTCTGTGCAGTTTCCCTAAAATATTTATCACTTGGTTTGGTGCACTCTGTAGTACTTTAACTTTCAACAGTTGTAAAGCAATACCTTAGTCTGCAGTTCTAAAAAAGTGCATGGTTTTGAAGAAAAAAAACCTAGCTTCAAAAAAACGTAACCACAAAATTTGAAGCTAACGATCTTCTTACTCAAATGAATGTAAACATCATGCCTCAGACAAGATGTCCAAACACATTAGACAGTAAGCTTAGGCATGATGTCTGAGGCATGATGCCTCAGACATCATGCCTAAGCTTACTGTCTAATGTGTTTGGACTTCGCCTTTACTAACGGATGTCATTTCTTTTTAGGTTCAACCGTCTTGCACCAATGCTGGATCGAATACAGAGCTCCACCTGCTATCTGAGAACGAGCTCGAAAGTACTGTAGCCAGTGTGGTAGCGCAGCATCTCGAAGATATGAAAACATCAGAATCCAAGAAGAAAGAACAACGAAATGCTGAGAAGAACGTCAACACCAGACCTATTCAAGTGCCTATGCAGAAAGCAGAAGATCTGGACCTAGGAAAAAATGTGGTTCCTCGATTACAGAAGTTACGGGTTCTGGACAAAATGATTGGTGAAAGAGCAGCTGTAGTAGAACAATTTGACGAGAGCCTAGTAAAGATGGAAATAGCGAAAAAACGCGAGTTCATTCGCAAGTCCAGGAATGCGCTGGCAGATTTGAAAGCACAACGAGAAGCTTCAAAATCGGCTGAAATGCTCGAAGCTATACTTAGGCGTAGAACGCCACAAAGACCGAAAAGCCGCGACGCAGCGACGCAGTCTGAACGACCGCCTTCGTCAGAAGAGCAGTCGCAAAGCTCATCTAGCAGAACTTCGTCTACGAGCACTTCTACTTCCGATGCGTCTATGGATGAGGAAGGACAGGCAACCGAGTCGAGCTCAACTGCTAGTACAAGAAGCAGTTCTTCGTCGAAGGAAACGATATTGAGAAAGAATTCTAATTCCACGACGTCCTCGAGCACACAGCCTACCGTCAGAAACCAAGAGTGAGAAATGTAAAAATTCTGCTTAAGGTTAATTTGCTAAGACGTAGAAAATTTCAGACAAGCGGACGATGCGGTTAGGCAACAACGGAATCAAGCGCCTGCAGAAGCACCTCCTCTCTCACCAACATCGCTTTATTTGAAACAACTGCGAGAAAAGATATTGCAAGAAAGGATGCAGAAAGTTTGATATTTACTGCCACTTATAGAGAAATAAATCTTTGTAAATCTTTGTTCTTTTTCATGTTTCGATTTTACGATTTATGGGTGCAGCAGTTTTACTCATTACCATCAATCTATGGTCGACTCACTGAAATTTCTGTTTTTGTATAGATAAGAAATGAGTAAATTGATGTCGTTTTTTGACTAGTGCAGTTTCTAGAAGATTGCTTTCGCACGTTTGGTGATATACGCATCCCCTTTATCAACGATTTGGCTATTATAATGTAACTCTTAAAGGCAGTAGGTCGGCAGAATGAGACCCGTGGCAAAACAAGGTCACAGGGTAGGAGGCCCCATAATGGAATCTATGGGCCAAAGTTTGATCTTTCTCTGCCACTTCTAACCCCCGAAATTTCAAAGCGAAAGCAGCGCTCATCTCCTGTCCTCTCCGAACCCGCCCATCCCTTGGACGAGTGACTTCCGCGGTCAGAGCGCCAGCCGCAATGCTATAAGCATGAGGTCCCGCAACGACTCTGCGTCTTCGCCATGACGGGCTTCGTGTTCACTCGTCCGTGGGGTGGGCGGGGTCGGAGAGGACAGGAGATGAGCGCTGCTTTCGCTTTGAAATTTCGGGGGTTAGAAGTGGCAGAGAAAGATCGAACTTTGGCCCATAGGTTCCATTGTGGGGCTCCTACCCTGTGACCTTGTTTTGCCACGGGTCTCATTCTGCCGATCCACTGCCTTTAAGTTCAAAATACATGAGATCAACAATCAGTTAAAACAAAAGATCTTAAGGCAGCGTCCACCCAGAATTTCGTCTTTTCATTGTTAACACATTGACGACAAGGCCGATTTTTCGATTACTGCCATTTCGGACAGGAGCCTTTTTTGCTCTGCCAAACTTACGACCCATCCGTGGGTCGTATTGTCCGAAATGGTAGTCTTTTTGTAAGAAATTCAAAATATGTCTCCAAGAATATCCCCACAAGAGTTATCGAGGGCGCTGATCATCAAAATATGATTTGTTTCAGTTTTTGGCAGTATACGGTAAAATTACGGTAGTCATTCTGTACGAACCCAACATCACGGATTTTCGTGAAAAATTGTGTTTTGGGGTTATTTCACATGCTGATCACGATTATAGTGTCCACTTTGTTCACTACTTTCTACAATGGGACTACGGTAGCGGTACGGTAGAATTTTCGTAAGAATCAAGAAACTGATGCAATAAGGCGGTATTAGAACTTGAGACTATCATTTTCGTAATCAGCATGCTAAAAAACCTATATATGCAAAGTTTGGGCTTATTTGGAATGAACAATGCGAAAAACCAATAAAATCAACAAAATCGATAATTTTTGATGGGCTGACATCAGTCTCATGCTCTCCCTGTATTTCTTGTGCATGTAAACTTGAATTTATAAAAACAGCACCACTCTGCGAGAAATTTGAGCTAAAATCTATGCCTTACCTCTATCTACAGTATACCTACCGTAACATTACATTACAGTATTCCGAACCCGGACCACTCCGGCTGGAGCCTCATCAAGGTGTCCCCAATCATGCGCCAGAATTCCGTAGAATTCCACCGCATGCTGGCAAAGTTGGAGCTTTCGAAAACTTACGACCCACCGGTGGGTCGTATTGTCCGAAATGGCAGTACACTTACGACCCACCGGTGGGTCGTATTGTCGTCAATGTGTTAACAGGCCTTTCCATGGCGCTGGTTTCGGATATGAGAATCAAATTACCAAAAAGCTCCAATATTGCCTCTTCTAAAGCCTTATTCTGGCAGACGCGGACGAGTGCACAGGCGTAAGTTACGTTGTATGCAACACGAAATCTCGTCGTGTAACCTCGTCGTGTGCAACAGTACCACATCACAAACTATGCGTCTTGACGTTGCTTGTCATGTCAGAACACGTTACGGGGCGATCCATGGGTGAGTGGAGATAAAAAGGAAGCGGAGCGCAAAGAGAATCCAGGCCGCTATCTTTTTTTGTAGACATAGACAACATTAGGAGAGACCGGACCAACGCAGTTGTTCTACTTTTAGGGCCTTAGTAGGATAGCACTTGGGGTGAGTAGATTTTGGATGGACGCCACCATTAACAAGTGTTCCAGTCGCATGTTTCTTACAAGGGAACGATCCCAACTTAAGGTGGCGAATTGGAATGAACCGCATAACATTAGATGCGTCTTGATGAGCTGATTCCAAATCTGTCTTCCATATCTGCGACACCGTTATCTGCAAAAAGTTATGAGCGGTTGAAAATGTGAAGTTATCGGGGTTTTAATGCATAATATGCTTTAAAATCCAACTTGGAAGTGCACGACTAGCATGATATTGAGTGTAGTGATTCCAGTGAATGCTCAGATTCTAAAGAAACACAGACAAGTGTTTTTGAACAGCTACTAAAGTTCTTTGGTAAAAGCTATGAGCAATGAAAAGTCCAAATTTGGCAAATGTACAGCGCCATACCTCGAAAATTAGTCGTTCAAAAACACTCTGTGTTTCTTCAGAACCTGAGCATTCCCTGGAATCTGTACACTCAATATCATGCTAGTCGTCCACTTTCAAGTTGGATTTCAAAGCATATTATGCATTAAAACCCCGATATCTTCACATTTTCAACCGCTCAGAACTTTTTGCAGATAACGGTGGCGCAGATATGGAAGACAGATTTGGAATCAGCTCATCAAGACGCATCTAATGATATGCGGCTTATTCCAATTCGCCACCTTAAGTTGGGATCGTTCCCTTGTTAGAACGTTGAAAACAATGACTCGATGATGAGAAAAAGTTCTGAAGAAGAGCGCTTTGTCCCTCAAGTTACTTAGGTACATGTAGTTTCCGCCTTCTGGTATGGTTGACAAGAGAGAGTCCTACGGAATACCCAACGACGAATCAGCGCAAATATGTTTTGCGTCAATGATTCAAGCTCGTATTATAGGCAGTGCAAAAACACCGTCATGACCGTTAAACCTATGCGATTATGTCTAGATTCTCACTCGCAACGAATTTCAGTGGCTCGATGTATAGTATACTTCTTCAGAACATTTTGCAAGTGGTAAGTGCTAACAATAAGTACGCAATATTGCGGATCTAATCTGGAAACTCACACCTCATTCATATTCTAACTTCCCATTATTGAGAGGACTTTTGAAAAAAAGGCCAGCTACAGCCGGCCGCTTTCTCATCTGTCGCTTATAAATTTCTTCGTGTCTTCAGATCTATAGTAACAATAAATTATCCAATCTTCTGGGCGTTCCGAATGTGATTTCGCTTTTTCGGAAAAATTCCAAACTCTGCGGAAGGTTCATAATAGTGGTTTACAGCACGATGCTTGATTATGCTCTTTCAAACAGGATTGTACAGGTTGTCCCAAAAAATGTGCCCACTGTTTGATCGTTAGTAAGTCTTGTCATGAAATTTCTCGAGAAGGTTTAGGTAGCATTTTTTAGAGCTGGTTTCAAATTAGAGTTACAGTACGAAGCAAATTACCGATCCCTCTTCACTACGGTGGGACTACGGTAGGATTCCGCAAGATGCGGCGACACTATGAGATGGGCCGTTCGAAAAAAATTTTTCAAAAGACCTGAAAAATTATGTAGCAAGGTTTTTATGCATGCTGGTTTCACTTCATGATTTTCTGAAGTTTGCAGATCTTTTCAAATGGCGTAATCACATTCTTGACCAATATCAGCAATGAGCTCTTATGGCATATGTGACATACCTTACAATAAAAGCTTTACTGTAAGTGCGATTTTCGTATGTGAAGTTAGCGATTCTGGTTAGCTTAGAATAGAAGTTTTTAGCTCCTTTGATACTTTCTTAGGGGTAAAATATGACCGTTAATGACGCAAACCCTCCCAAAGTCACCGTAATCGAAATGAAGGGACGGTAATTTGCTCCATACTGTAAATCTAAGCCGAAGCCACCTCTACAAAGTGATATCCAAATTCTTCAAAATACTTCATAACAAGAAGTTATTAGAATCAACAGTAAACACATTTATTGGGACGCACTGTATCAGAAAATTGACAAAAATTACGACCATGGTTTCTGTCATGGCCAAGTTTCGCTATTTATCTAGATTTTCAAAACAATCCTCCCTCCCCCCCCCCCGAAAAATGTCCAAGTAAAGTATGTGATAGAGCAAAACTTATAGAATACAGAATAATTTTTCCTCCCTTCTATTACTCGCCATAATGGAATTATTTCTAAAACCACCGAATTTTGGCTAGCCTATCTCAGACACAAACATGTCAAACAACCAAATAAATTTCCAGATTTTTTTTGCAGAAACGAATAATGACTCCAAGTTACATCACAAAGCATTAGCGCACTTGACAGTACATTGCCAATTCTCAAATCAACGTTGAATTATGTGAGCATATGGGTGACAGCGTGGCGAGAGATTTCTAGAACATCGAACACAAGTAGCTAGGCAGAAACATAATAACTAATCATGTTAGGAGATGGCTACAGACTAAAGATGATATTCTATAAAGATTACAAAAATAGTTGTTTCAAAGTGTTGCGAACTGGGCCGGCAGGCTATCAAAATTAAGCCTCAGACTCCAGTTTGGCTCAATCAAAGATCGCACACAAAGCATTTCCACTCTCAATCCATGCGCACAAAGTAAAACATGCTGATTTTGATCGCATTCGCAGAAAAAGTGACGAATACCTATAAAGTAACCAGTGGTCGAATCTCCACAATGTTCTAATTCGAGGATGACGTTTCAAAAGTTCTTCTGAACCAAAATGCGCACCCCTTCGAATCACTTCACGCCGATACTGTGAAGTAAGCGAGGTCGTAACTGCGTCTCGAGGTTACGGCTGTTCCGGGACAGAGCGCGTACTACAAATAAAATTCTATATTTATTTGTTTTGAAGCGAATATTTTTGTTTTGAAGAGATATTATGCACCTGTCATTGCCCTCACTATTATTAGTATCAGCTAAAGGAGATCGGAACGAATTTGGGAGGATTTCTCCCAGATCTCGTCGGAAACTTCTGCAGTTTCACATGTCGTCTCGTTTCCTACTTTTCTACTCAACTCTCTGTTATGCTGCTTTTCAGATGAACCCATGATCACAAAAGTCTTTCTACTAACCACTAACGTACTCAAATGAGAAGTCTCCTCCCGCTCAAAAATGGATGTCGGCAACAAGAGGAGAAGTGTAGACGATATATCCTTAGATCTTCTACGTTTGGGAAGCTTTTGAAGCTTTTCTCTGCAAGAAATGTAGCATTTGCTGTTTTCCTCAGCATTTACACACTTGTTGTGCTCCTTCTTCATGGTGGTTTTCCAATGGATGATCCGCTGTTTCGGAGACAGAGGAGTAATGTTGTCATAAGGTATCTATGAATCTGCTAGTAAAGAGCTAATTCAAAGTGTAATCACGTTTGATCTATTCAGGAATATTCATGAGGACTATGACGCTGGATGTAATGGATATGCAATGGACTATCGGATAGCAGAGCAGCAGCGGTATGGCTTTTCTTTTCGATAATCTTTTGCCTCTTGCTTTTTCTCTTTGTCCTTTTAATAAATGCTATATAGGTGAATATAGACATGCGCGGAAGAAATTTTGCTCCTCTACGCACCTTCCGCAGTACCGCCGCTTTGCATCTTTGCAATGCTTTTGACGCTTTTCTTTTTAAATCTGTATTTTCTTTATTATTGCATAGGTAAGAGTGAGCTGCACTGTTCTCTTTGCGAATTTTCTTTTGCATACGCGCATGCTATAACCTTATCCATTTGGTCCTACATACTGGATTTTGCAAGACTTTTGATGAGTAGCCGGGCTCGGGTGTATTCAGGGACGATTTTCCAATAAGATTGCTGTGACGATATTACTAAGTTAGTCACCATGTCAGTCCTGATGAATTTCTGTCGAAGTTTGAAGTTGTTTCATCTTGCACTCCGGAACGCCAGAGATTCTCTCTGCAACTGCATCGAACAAAGTAATTGGCACCATTATTCTAAGACTAAATATGAAACTATTAGGCTCGAGTACCCTTCGCAGACATTGTGTGGACAAAATTGATTGGTCAATAAGTTTTTGTCTGCGATCTATCTCAACTAGGATAATCTATTGTCTGAAAACGGAGAAAAGTAAGTTCAAGCATTGGACAAGGTGTGTAGATCGTGCTCAAGTCTCCTAGTCTCAAAATAGACGATAATCATGTGTTACTGTTGTGCCACATAAGTTGTACCAAAATTTTCAGTATTTTGCGTAGTGTACGAAGTGAGCTCATTGATTGTTCGGCCAAGCTCCAAGAAGTCACTGTCGTCTATGAGGAGTTGAGCAAGAAAATCCCCGAGAAGCGTCAGTTATTGGGTCTATCATCTGTTTCTGCTATCGCTAAGTAACTCCATTTTCAGAATCGGAGCTTACATCGGTGTTGGAAGAGATCGAGAGTGCACGACGAACTTTGAAAGAACTGCAGGATCGTCGGAATGTTCGGATATTCTTACCTCATAAAGCGATATACTTACCTGGCGAGGAATCTCAAGCAACACATCCCACTCGTCAGCTTTCATCACAGCTAACACTGGAAACTGCCATAGATTTTAGGTCAGTTTTGTCTCATTGTTATCCGCTCTCTGATGATTTTCAGTTTTAGTCGATGTTCTATTACAACCTTTATGCCCATGTACATATCTAATTTTACCGTTTTGTCTCCCATGATGATCGGTTTCAAAAATGAGCTTTCCTCATTGGGAACTATTGTCAACGATGCTGCAAGCGCATGTCTAATAGTACGTTGCAAGATCTTCAGAAGTTCGCTCCACCGTGCTTTGGTAATGATTTCGCTCAGCTTTTAGATCTATCTCACCAACGGTTCATCTGAAATGTTTGCAAAGCTTCCAAACTCTGGCCGAAATACAGTTGTTATGAATTTCGGAGATCCATTTATCACACGAAACTCTGCCATAGTAGTGCAGCGGTTTGACAAGCTCATTCCTAGGTGAGTCACGCTCAGCTCTTGCATTTTATTCTATATTTTTTCTGTTTCTTGCTCATCTCAGTCACGCAATATCTGATACATTGAATTGTAGGTTAATGGATTATAATGTGTTTCTAAATGTGCCTCAATATAGTGCTTTTGCATGGAAGGATATGCCTAGCTTACTGCCTTACTCTAGAACGGTAAGTGTATTTTATATTTCCTTTTTTGTCTGCCGACTTTCCGTCTCTTTTCCGTAATTATTTTCGTGTTTTCATAAATTCTTACTGAAGTAACAACTAAGTAGTATAGCAACCTATCTTTGAATCTAGGCAATCTTTTTTGCTCGAGATTGAGCGGAAAGAAACGTTGTGATTCTTCTTGGCGATAATCGCAGAAGCGTTTTCAAAAAGTTTGAGACTTGTTACAGTTTTTTCTCTTCACCTACGTGTCATCTGATGCTAGGGACCTGTACCCGCTCTTATCAAGTGATCTTTCTCGTCTGAGTGCTTCAGCGGTGTCTGCAGGAGACAGCGTCAAAATTTTGAACTGCTCTGACTCTTCGCATAGTGCGTCATGTGAATCCGTGACTGAATTAGGTGAAAAAACACTCGAAAGAAAAACTCTCTTTAATTGTTTTCGTTACTTTAGGAAGACTCACTCAAAGCTCGATCTTCTGTCTCTTCTTGAGCCGTAGCAATTATACTCACCTTTTCTGGAACTCGTTACGGTTAGGATGCATTCCTGTAGTACCATCGCTGGATATCGTGCTTCCATTCCAAGGTTAGCGTTTTGTAGCATCATGATTAAAGGAAAAAGCTTAGCCTTCATCCTTCCAGATCATATTGACTGGCGTCGAGCCTCGGTCCGTGTCCCACTAGCTCGATTTCCTGAGTATCACTTCATTCTGCGCTCTTTCGAAATGGCAGAAGTATTAGAGCTACGAAGGATGGGACGAGTCTACTTCGAGCGCTATCTCATGGATCAGAGAGGTTTGTTGCAATTTTTGTAGATGTTCATGACTGTTGTTTACATCTTTTCATACTTTTATGAGAACTTACTTGCTTATGCACTCGTACCAAATATCAAATTTCCCTTCAATTTGATTTTCTTTGTAGCTGTGGCTAGAGCTCTGATTGCTTCGCTTCGTGAAAAGTTAGGCCTACCATCACCTCCGGAAACTGTCAACAGGGTAAGCGTTGATTCTTCTCCTTTGAGTCTGGGAATTTTCGTTTTAAAGCGCGCATGTAATTAACATTGCATTGCGAAAGTTTCAGTTTGTTATGTGCATCATTGTACTTTTTTTCCTTTTTCTTCTATGTGACTTGTCTTTCTATGACAGAAATATTTTATACACTCTGATCTATTGGAGGCAGTTTTGTTCTTACTTCAAAAAAATCGTGGTTTTCTGAGAGAGTATGTCGAAAAGTTTTTTGAAGAAAGCTTAGCTATGTCCTCTCTCAGGCTGTACCGCTGTTCAACGATTCTTTCATTGCTCCAATACTTACGCCTATCAACTTGCAACCTTTGGATGATGAATATCTCGGTAGGGTCTTCCACATGTGTTCAGTTTGTGACAATCTCCTTCCAGGTCCTCTCGAAGGTGCTGTCAATTCGGGTTCTTTCCTTCACAACTTCTCCTCTTTCACTATGGTGTGTGCTGCTTCTTCTTTTTCTGATGTTTTTCTTTTGAATACAGTGCAGTTTCTAGTACTCATATCTTTCATGGAACACTATTGGTCGGCCTTGGAAAGCAATGGAATTTCTAGCGCATTCTGTAGATCCTCCCACCGAAATTGAGTTCTACTCTGATTCGAGTGTAGGTGAGTTTCTGCAGTGTATCATCAAAATGTACGCAATACATATGCTTAATTTAGGATTTCGACCAATTGAGCCTGGGTCAGGTGTAGAATTTAGCAAAGCCCTTGGAGGTAACCGCATCCGTGAACAGTTTACAGGTAGATTCCATGGCTAATTTGTGTTCCATCCCAAAAAAAATCCATCTCCAATTGCTTTCAGTAATCCTGTTAACGTACAATCGTGATGCTGTGCTAGCAGCTTCACTAGAGCGACTTCATCGGCTCCCTTACCTGAATAAGGTCATTGTCATCTGGAACAATGTAGCAAGGGAACCTTTAGGAGCTTGGCCTCGCCTTCATGTGCCAGTCGAGTATGCTTTTCTCGTTATTGTGCTAATGAGGATACTTCTCTTTTCTATGCTTTTCCTTAGTGACTTTCTGACAGAAGGAAAGCAAGCGGCCATATCTTCAGGTTCATCAAAGTGACCAAAAATAGTCTCAATAACCGGTTTATACCATGGGATCGCATAAAAACGGAAGCAATTCTTTCGCTTGACGACGACATCGACTTGAAACAACATGAAATCGTGTTTGCGTTCAGGTAAGGTTGGGTATTATGCGGGGTACAAACGTTTGATTTTTATTTGAACTACAGCTTTCAATGTTAGGAGAGAATAGGTTATTATTTGTTGATTCAATCAAAAAGGGAAATTCATCTCCCACATCCTTTGGTCACATTATAAGTGCGGTAAAAGATTGCTCCGCTCCCTTTTTACGTTGTTAATCATCACTAGTCAGTCTTCTAAAACGCTTTCTGTGTAGCTTTGAGTGCTCCAGTCCATTTGAAAAATCAATTTTCATCATTTTGTTGTCATTTCATCATTTGCTGTGTCTTCCCCAAGTTTTTTCTTGTAGAGATCTCTTGTGAATGTGCTCAACTTAGAGAAATTATCAGTATGCTTTTTGGCACGTCAAGATTTCCCGGCTCCTCATAGACTTATTGGTATCTCACTAGATTTTGCTGCTTTCACTCTTTTCCACTCTTTTCTTTTCTGAATGATACGTGTCGTAGATGATGTAAGTTCCGATAACCAAGAATAGGCAATGATGTCATCTGCTTTTTTGACTGCTAAAGAACGAACATTTGAAAGATTCTTGCTGAGATAAGCTCATATTCGACGTCATTTCTCTATCATGTCGACTACATATTTTGAACATTTGGTTTTGAAATCTCGCTCAGCTTGAAGCCTCTTACGATGCTCACCATTTCTCATTCAAGATTATTTAAAGAAGTCAAAGCCTAAATTTCATTGAACATCATTTTGCCTTCTGTATGCCTAGGAGCAACGTAGACGAGGTTACTATAGGCATGAGCCTAGAACAAGGAAAAGTTCTTGTCTGAGACTTCGTCAATCTCAGCATACAGAAAATTTGATCATTAACTGTGTCCTGTGAAAATTGTGAAGGGTCGATACCGTAGGCAAGCTCTGATCACTTGATGTTATCTATGCACTTCTATTGCATCAAAAAATAGAATGAGAATGCTTCTCAAAAATTTTGTAAAGCCGTAAAATGCTTCGGGAACAGAATCGATGCACTTTAGGCAACGACATAGTCCTTTCTTAAGACTATGGATTTGGCAAATGGTTGTGTGTACATTATAAAGCTCTAATCAAGGCAGTCATTTTCAACAATTCTGTCCGAGAATTTCTTTTTTGAGTGTTCCTGGAAAGCAGTGCCTGATGTCAAGAGTTTCATTGATGACCTAGTTTTTTTGTGATTGTTGGATCTGTGATTTTCAGCTTTTTTGTACTTTTATACGAACTTTCTTCAAGCTTGAAATTTGTTGAAGAACTGCCACGGACTTCCATCTTTGTTTTTATTTTTTTATTTTTACTAATACACTCAGGGTGCACCAAACAAAGAACAGGAAAAAAACTCAAGCATGTCTAACAAAACATGATACCAGCTAGTCCAAGGCTTCAGGGAGATAAACAGTGAATGTATAGGAGAAAGTCTGGTCTACAGAGGTTTTAATATCTCTTTTTCCGCAATACATACAGGTCCCAGCTTCTGCGTAGATAACCCATACGCTCAGATTCGCTTTGATACTACATCTGAAAAAAGCGTATATTTATCCGTTCAACTTTTTCATCCGGTTCAGGAATTCGCCTGCCTAGGACGTTAGCAACTTGAAAATGTTTCACATCATTGTGGCCTTAGAAAAGGCTCAAATTCAAAAACTCTAACATACGTAGAAATGAATAGCAGTAGAATTGAACAATCTATATACAAGTGATCTACACTCCACCGTAATTCCTTAATCAAGAGCTACGATAGGTGGGTGCTATGATACAATTCATCATAAATCTGCATGTCCAGTTAATCGATTAGTTCTTTCCAGCGTGGAGACAGATAACAACGCACAAAAATCTTGATAGTGGATAAACATAAAAAACATTCGAGAGCAGTGGCTCCAAGCATTCATCAAACTGCAAGTATGATGTGCTCTTTTGGAAAGCGAAGAACTTTGTAGCCACGCTTTGGTTTAACGTTTTAAGGGCTAACTTTATGTGCAAAATACTTTATGTGCAAAATCTCATATGAGTTAAGGTCTTTGTTAACGGGATGAAATACTCAATTCTTCGAAGCCTATTCTTGAGGTTGAAACTGATTTTCAGTGCAAAAACACTATTAAAGTTCCTACCATAATTCCATAGTAAGAACAGGATTGTGAGCCCTTCCATACAGTAAATCTCAAAGTCCTGTAGAGTATGACTGGTGAAAGTCAGCCAAAGGTTTTTGAGCAGTAGAAAAATGTAAACTAACGAACAATGCATATATGCTATTTCCGGCTTGAAAAGACATAACTGCTTCTTTTAATCTATTCAATCCCAGTCTTACCACTACTTAGGGGTACTTTTTATATTGTTTGGGTATTTCGTTAACACCCATACAGTCTTGTAATGAATCTACGCATAGCATTATGATTTTCTTGCAAGAGACCGGCAGTACCATGCAGTGCTAAGCATTTTGGTTCCTCTTTGGAGATTTTAAAGATTGCTTGGAGCATATTTTATCGCTATATTAGCTGGTTAAGGAAAATCTGCAAAGAATCTGGGTTCACGCAAAAGCTGCTTTTTCGTGATGTTGTGTATATCAAAGGTTTGGTAATTGGATCAATATTTATTGCCCAGATAATTGGTAAGGGGTGCTTTTAACTTTGCTATCAGCTGTGCAAATTTTGTGAGCATTCGATGCAGTCTGTATTGCAAGATCTACACTGAATCGCCAGAACTCGGGCGTTAGTTTTCAAATTTTGGCCAGCAATATTATGGTAAAGATGCGGCTGGATTGGATGCAGCATCAATTACATAGGTTCTCGAGTCAATCGTCAATAGGTCATTGCTCCAAACCATGTTACCATAATCCTTGTTTTGGAAATACTAATTTTGAAAAAGATGGAAGAAAAGCTGCATTATTCTTCGCGAAAATGAGTAGATTGTGGATGTGGCAGTTTCCAGGGTCTTGATAAGGCACTCGCAGAAGAATTACCGGCAGTTAAAGAACACGTTTATGATCAAAATATAGCTTTCTCGATAATCAAGTGGAAAATCCTTAGCCAAGGCAGTATATTGGCGCTTATATAACTACAAAATTGGAATTTCTTCATTGTCCGTATTGCCCCCTTCTGTAGTACATCATTATGCTAAAGTTTGGCCTGAGAGTCAAAGACAGAATTAGCTACCCGATTGTGCTATATGCATGATAGCACAACCATCAAATTATTTGAGCTATATGATAGATAGGAAACCCTTCTGCTTGAGCGAGTATGAACTTTGTGTTTTTCACAGATCAAAATACCAGATAAACTTTTTCGCTTTACCGTAACCGCTTTATAAGCACAACAGCCGTATATAGCAGAAAGATTACGTTCTTATATATTTGTAATTTTCACCGCTATACATGTGTCGCTTTGGGGAAAACGACAGCAATACAGTATCAAAACTGCAGTGTCAAAAGCATCTAGCAAAATTTTCTTCCAGGGTTTGGAGAGAGAACCGTCGTCGCATTGTGGGTTTTCCTGCTCGACATCATGCACGATATGGCAATGAAATGTATTACAACAGTAACCACACTTGCCAGCTGAGTATCATACTCACCGGTGCTGCTTTCCTGCATAAGGTTTGTTTTATTGCTTCAAATATTTTCTTTGCTATTCACCATCTAACTGATATTCCCACCCTTCACCTCAAATATTCTGATGAAAGGGGACGATCTTCTGAAGTGGTTTATTCAATAAATTCAGTTGCGTAGCGAGAAGCAAACATATCTTAGCGGCTATTTGGTCCCAAGAATATGTGCTGTGAACGTACACACACTTGATCCTTTAGCTTTTGTCGAATTTTTATTTTCCTGTTCTAACAACCTCTGGAATTCTAACAAAGCGTTGGGAAATAATACAAGCGAAAAATGTTAGTTCTCCCCCCCCCCCCCTCTCTTCCCTACTCTCGCTTTTTCTTTTCCTGTCATGGGGTTCTGGCTATATAGAGAGGGAGTTTGCGGCTATGGTTATGACTTATTATCCCTAATTTCACTCGGAGTCGCTCTTACGCATTGATCGCTCGGGCCGTCCTTGCCAGACACGAATTCTAAATGAGGGCTTTGTTGTACATCGGCACTGACAAGAGGCAATAGATTACCTTTGTTAGAAGTGAAGGCTGCAATAGAGTGTGTATGTGGTCGTTATTTATACATTGAAATGGAACACAAAACACTTTAGTCGAGTGTGAAGTATTCTTTTTCAAAGTTTTTCAATCTCTCGAGAGTTATTGAAAGATTCAAAAGATATCTAAAATTTGTAAGTAGAAGCTGCTTAATGAGTTTCGTTTGTTTTTAGTCTTGTTTCTAGCTTGCAAAACGAGATGTTATTTTACTATTTTTTCAATATAATGTTACTAAATAAGACCTTGTGATCTGGTAAGAATTAAATATTTTAGACGTACACGAAGTAGAGAAAAATCATTATTTTCAAGCAGCACTATTACAGTCCTGCTATATATTTTTTTGGAGAGACAGGGCGGAACTTTCTTGTTTGCCAAAGCCCCGGTCTTAACACAGTCAAAAACGTCTGGAAACATCCTCGTTTTTTTTACAAAAAACTACGAATATCAAAAAGCGAAATTCCATGTTTCAGTCTTACTTGCACGCTTACACATATCAAATGCCCGAAGCGATTCGCCAGCATGTCGATGAAGTCACAAACTGTGAGGATATAGCAATGAATTTCCTCGTCTCGCACATCACCCGGGAACCTCCTATCAAAACAACGAGCAAGTGGACTCTGAGGTAGGTCATTCGTGCTCCAAAATATGAGGTGGTCCGAAAGTTTGTGCCGTTTTTAGACCTATCCTCAAACCATTCAGAATAACAATAGACAATCATAAGCATTGTTCTATGCGAAATTTCTTTTTTTTCAGCAGTGATGTTTGTTCGAGATTCCTTCAATGTTTCTTCGAATAATAGCCATAATTTACAACACATGCATTTTACATAACCTGAATTTAGCTATTTGATTATATTTTTCATTTTGGACTTTTGGAAAAGCTTAGATAACATTTGATTGGAGTAAACAATATGCTACAAAACCAGTTTTGTTGACATCGATAGCTGGCTTTCCAGTATTCTTAAAAACAAGTGTTCCAAAACTCTTCACATTTGCAAAGTCGTATATTATGCAAACGCTCTAAATACTATGAAATTTTCGCAAACTGGTTCAAAAAATGCGATTATGATCAAACATACGAATGAGTTTCTGCCTCTTCGAACTACTGATTTTTGAAATTTTCGGGTGAATCCTGGAACGCATGAAAAAATTAGAATTATAGCAATTTTTCCTTGAGGGCTTTACGAATTGGAAAGAGAAAGCAGCTGTCAAAAAAAAGGAGGAGAAGGTGCATTGAATGTCACCCTAGCTGTTTGCCGTCTGTTGTTCTACGAGGTTTGGGGTAAACAAATATCAAATTTGGTAGCATCAAAGAATTTGAAAAGCCATTTCCTGATAACTATCGATGCCAATAATTTGTATTTGCATTTCGTTTATTCCTATAACCATCATTAAAGCATTATCGAAGTCCATTATGATAACTCGAAAAAAGCAAAAGTTAGGGTAGGTAATAAACATGAACTGAAGATACTGACGATTTTTTAGGCGAACATCAAAGCAATCTGAACAAATTAGCTGGAAAGAGGAAGAAATTCTGCATAGAACACTCAGTGTTTATGTTTACTCTGAATGATTTGAGGATATGTTTAAGAAACGGCACGAACTTTCGGACGCACCTAATATAATCATTTCCTGATAAGATTCTTGCCATGGCCTTTGATTTTATATGCAATAGACAACGTTTTTCTCATGAAACTGCTCTATTCCCATGTTCAGAATCACTGACGGTTAGGACCTGGATAGCATTTTTTTGAGGAATTTGTTGTTGATTGCGCGAAACGAAGTTCATAATGTAATCCTAAAGTAAGGAAGAAGGATTGCTGATATATCCTGTTTTGGAAATTTGGGTTCAACCCAAACTTTTCATATATGTAGCTATTTTGGGCCTCGTGAAAAACAAAGGGGCAAAGATGTATCTGTGGTGAAACAGTGAGTGTATTGGGGCACCTTGTTTCTCAAAGAGGTATCGCGAACTTGGGAGGAAATTCCTGGATAATTTCATTTCTTGTGAAAAGCTTTTGTTGCTAGATACTATTAAAACGCTCAAACATATCTTACATTAATAAATCCTTCTAACCCCTTGAATACAGGGTGTTCCTGAAGTATGTATACACTGTTTGATCGTTAATATCTTTCTTCCCAACAAGTCTTTTGCCTTGATTTAGGTACCGTTTTGTAGAGCTGGCTTCAACTTAGATTTTCAGTATAGAACGAATCACCCATCTCTCTTCATTACTGTAGGATTAAGGTAGAAATTTCAAAGAGGGTTTTGGGCTATGAAAGACCATATTTTCCCTCAGAAAAGAAAGAAAACAGCCTGAAAACTTTTACACTAGGCTAATCAGTGTTGCTGATTCTAACTGTAAAGTTCCCAACTTATTATGATGTTTCATTGAAGAGTTATGCCGGGAAAGAAATAGCGGCCATTTTTTCAATGTTCCTAAAAAGTGCGATTACACCGCTTAGAAAGCTTCGCATTCTTGTAAATACTTGAGTATTGAACTCAGCGTCCATAAGAACCCTATTACACAAGTTTTCACATTTTTTTTTGAAAAATTTTGAGACGGCAGCTTTTTCCACATTGACACCATATGTTTCAAGTCTCTACCGTAATCCTACAGTAACGAAGAGCGGTCGGTGATTCGCTCCATACTGTAAATCTAAGTTGAAGCCAGCTCTACAAAACGATGCCTAAAGCAAGGCAAAAGACTTGTTGGGAAGAAAGATATTAACGATCAAACAGTGTATACATACTTTATGGACACCCTGTATATCGTCTACCTAATCAGTCTTATTCCAGTGGTATTGAGTATTTTCACAAGTTTCCTCAGTTTCTGTTCCCGATATGTCAAGGCTTTTTCACCTCTGTCGCAGCGAATACCTGCTGTGTCGGTGTCTTTTCAAGAGTTAGTGACTAATTCGCTTTAGATGTCCAACATGCACGGAGACGCTTTCTCAAGATGAATCACATTTCCGTGAGCGACATGAGTGTATTCGGCTCTTCACAAAAATTTATGGATACAATCCATTGAAGTGAGTTTGAAGGCAATTTGGCAGTTGGCTATTGAACATGGCGTAATTTGAGCTTTGATGTTTTTTATATTCCACCAAATTTTTGAAGTTTGTAAATTTTCCAAAAACCTAAGTTTTTGACACTTACAAATTTTGAAAGAGTATCAAGGCTTGCAATACACAAGCGTTGCTTAAATTTGAGAGAAAGCTCATAAACATCATTGGCAACACTGAACTTGGCTAGTTCCAGTCCATAAAATTCAGATTTTTTCGACGAAAATTTGCATCACGCAGAGAGCGGCATATGCTTCAGGTATTGAGGAGAATGAGAAAAAATACTGAGCTAATCTGGTGGTAATTTCGTTCGAGAATTTTCGCATCTGTCCCTCACAGCTGTTGAGATGCATGAAATTGAATTTGCTGAAAATCCCTGAAGAGTGTTAGATACAATCAGCAGCAATTTCATGATTCACTAGGCAACGCATGCAAGCATCAGATCTGTACTTAATGATTACCAGCTGCTTCAATGCTGACAGGACATAAGAAGTACTTTGTATCGAGATTGTAATGAGTTTTCGCAGAACCTCGAAATTACTCACCTGTAAGGTCAAAAAGTGTTCTTTCAATATGGCAATTGTCAACTTTAATCTAGTTTGTTCAAAGTTCATTCTTTGAATGTTCTACATGGGAAAGTATCCCCTTGAAAAGTGATTCCACCTTTAACAATCAAAGTAGGTGAAAGGAAATATGCATTATTGTGAAAATATTAGGTTGATTCATAATTAATGCACGTTTTGAATTTCAACCGCAGTAAGTCATACACTTTTCATTCTTATATAGGCTTCAAAGTACCATTGGATAGAGCAAAGCAAGCTCTACAAGATGGCACTCATGTCTTTGCGCCATGCTCAATCCACGGAGAGTTCGAACTCAAAATCTAAAGATTTCCAAATGCCCAAAAAATCGAAAAAAATCAGATCTTCGTCCAAATAATTTCTACGGACCTCCCACTCGCTCACATCAATACTATCGCTATCTGATATCCATATGTGCGATTGCCGTATTTTTCCCTTGACTAGAAACTGAGATAACGAAAATTCCCTGATTTTCTCAAAGCAATGCTGAGCCGTTTTTGCATATGTAGTTCTATACTACAAGCCTAGGTAAGTATAAGTGTAGATTTTCAGCCCATTCCAAGCGGTAGTTTTCGAAAAATAACGAATTCGGATTTTTTCGTTTCAGTTTCAGTGCTAAAATCGACATTTCTCGAAAAGTACCATTCGAAATAGGCTGAAAACCTACAGTTATGCTTACCTAGGCTTGTAGTATAGAACTACATATGCAAAAACGGCTCAGCATTGCTTTGAGAAAATCAGGGAAATTTTCGTTTTCTCAATTTCTAGTCAAGAAAAAAATACGGCAATCGCACATATGGAAATCAGATATCGATAGTATTGATGTGAGCGAGTGGGAGGTCCGTAGAAATTATTTGGACGAAGATCTGATTTTTTTCGATTTTTTGGGCATTTGGAAATCTTTAGATTTTGAGTTCGAACTCTCCGTGGATTGAGCTTGGCGCAAAGATATGAGTGCCATCTTGTAGAGCTTGCTTTGCTCTATCCAATGGTAATTAGAAGCCTATGTAAGAATGAAAAGTGTATGACTTATTGCGGTTGAAATTCAAAACGTGCATTAATTATGAATCAACCTAATATTAAAGTTGTAAAATAAATTGCGAGAAATTCTCTCGTTTTCTTGGTTTATTTGCGATCGGACTGAAAGATGTACGTGCTGATTAGGTAGTCAGAAAGACTTTTATCAAGGCAATGATCAAGCGGGTGCTTATATGATCTTTTCGTAACCGAGAAATTCAACTCAAAACTCACGCCCGGTACCGTACTTCAAGGCGCTGATTGGTCCGCTCTGAAAAAAGGCGGTACTGAACGAGAGTTTAGTGTTGGACTTTGCGGATTCTAATGTATTTTTTGAGGTGCCCCTTGGGCAACGGCTTAGTTTAATATCTTTCAATCACTTACCACGAAACCATGTCTTCAAATTTGTCAAGAAACCATGTCTTCAGATTTGCCTGAGTACTGCCCAAAAAATCGGTAACATTCGTTGCGTTATTTTACATCAGCAACTTTTACTGGTTTTCCAATAGCACTTACTTGGAATTGCGCTAGGTGAAACAAATTCGCGGTCTGGTTCAACGCATTTGTCAATATTTTCGTCACCCCTCTCCAAATCGCCCCCCTTTTCCCTCAACTGCACTTTTTCCATCTCGTCTTCCTCTGTAACCTAATGCGACTTTCTAATCTATCATCGCTGTCGTTTGGAATCAAATTGCGTTGCAGAATAACTGGCACGTAGAAGCCTAATTATAGCTAATGAAATCATTCACTTTTCGTTGGTGGCTCTCATCCGAAAGCGGCGGTGGAGAGGGGGTTCTTTGCTCGACATGTATCTCATGCATAGGAGAACCATTTCGAAGAATGCAGGCTTTTCTTACGACGCGCTATGAAACTTTTATGAATTTGGTTCAGAAGGATATCTGTGTGCAGAGAGAAAAGCTAAATGGGGCTACAAGATGAATCAATGTTTTTGGAACTACCGTAAGACATGGATAACTAGCAACGGGGGTAGTACGTAATTTGTTCAGTCTCGATAAAGCTGTCTTATTGCGATCCAAATTTTTATTGTTAGGAGGGGCTAGCATCGTAAAATCCATCTTGAGAGCTGAGCATCTAACATCATCTTTCAAAATTAAGCAAAATGCTCGTGCCTTTTACCTTGTTCAATGTCTACGCAAAAGCTATCTTCCACTTTTGCTGCAAGAGAACAGTTGAAAAAACCTCCATCATGTGAAGTGATTATGAGATCATGAGAATAATGTTGATTATGAGAAATGTTGCCTTCTCATTTCAAAGCGAGGAAATTTCAAATTGACTCAGAAGAAATATTCGATCACAGAGCTAGTAACAAATTAGTACAGAAAAAAATTGGAGACTCTGTTCTCGAGTGGCTGTATGTTTTATGAAAACCTAATAATTTTGGAATAATCGCTGCATTTTATGGATAAAAATTGTTTAAGTAATTGTGAGCTGACTGGCCAGAAAAAGTGCTTACTTGTACATCGGATTTTCAACTCATCGTTTTGATGTTTAATCTGAAAATGAAGCAATCTTATGAAATCTCAGTAGGCGAAAAATGTTGAAAAGTCAATCTTGAAACTTTTAACGATGCTTTTGGAATATACATATTTCTATACGCTTTCTTAACTTGCCGCATGTTCAAGCATTTTCATTTTTTAGATTTTAGCCGTTGGTTTTTTGATGTCGGCTTGGAGTTGAAAGTTACAGAAACTCACGTTACCAATTAAAAATGTGAAGTACCGACAGTTGAAAATCGACGATTTTTCTTCTGCCGTGGAGGCCATTATCGAGACGTTGTGTAGTCAATTTTTTGACATTATCACGTTGATTCTAACAAGGAATGATACCTAGTCAAAGTGGCGTTTCCACATGAGATGGATACTATCTTATGGAGCATGAAAGGCTAATTCCAAGTCTGCTCTCCTTATCTGCAACGCTTGTGGGAGGAGAATTCTGAGAATTTTTTGAGTTAAAAATCCAGTGATTTGGCTTAGGTAAGAACAGGTGTTGAGACATTTCCAGTTCTTGAAAGGAGTAATGACTGGCACCAGTTTATTAGATTGAAGATATCTATTGCATAAAGCTCCTGGTAATAATCATGGCCCCTGAGCTCAAGGACTGAAGTTTGCGATGACTTCGTTGTAGCCGCGCTTTAAAATTCTTGCATGAAACAATTTTCATAACTCCCCTCCCAGAAGCGCTTTGCAGATAGGGAAAGCAGATTTGAGATCAGCGTTTTATGCTCTATAGGATGGTATACATTTCATATGGAAACGCCACTTCGACTATGTATCCTTCCCTTTAAGTAGTTTATAGCTATATTAAGCTTATGATTCACTGCAAATGCCTGAAAATTGGTTTGCAGTTGAAAAATTAAGGTTTACAGCCCTTGCAGTGATAATTTGAGCTTAGCAAAATTGAGGCGAAGCTCATCACACGAATCTGAGCCAAATAATAGGGTACACTAAGCTCAATGTACCGTATCATGCGATGAGTTACTGACTTCGTAGCAAATGCAGGTTATACTTTTTAATCGTCTCTAGCCATTCGAGCATCGTAATGGAAGTTCCGAGTTCAAACTGAGATAATGGCAATTATTCGGCTCGAGTCCATTAGCGCAGTGTGCCGAAAAGGAAACCATTTCTATGCGCCAGAAAAAAACCATAATTTGCCTCTGTGAATGTAGTTGATGTATTGCTAAAAACGTCAATGATGTCAAATCTGCTGAGAGGAGTGTTGAACGCAGAATACTCGAGATGTTCATACAACTACTACCCGAGTCAAATACATTGCCCTATTACTTTCTTCTTATATAAATAAGTCGCTCAAAGCATAGAAGGGGGGTTGAACGGGAATCCGTTCAACATTCTAAAGAGAAGTTCAAGTCATCAAGATTTTTATGCATCAAAGGCACTGTTCAGCTAGATCCGAGTACTTGGACTTCTCTGAAGGTCCGAAAGGGAGTCCGTAACTAAAGCCCGTACGGCGACTCTATGACTTTTTGTGGCCGAGAAATCCATTCCTAAATCTTGCCCAAGACCGTACTTGGATGCTGATTGTTCCGGAGGGGATACGGTTTGGGCGAGAGTTCAAAGTTGAATTTCTTGGCCGCGAACGAGTGGGATGCGGTATGGACAATGGACTCAGTCATGACTACTCCCCAGTCAGCTTCTGCTTATTTCAAGTACTCAGACTTGCCTGGCACGACCTCTGAGATATATCACACTATCAAATTATAGTGTTCTCAAAAAATGTTTAGTTCAATCTAGAACGATAGTACTTTTGTTGTGGCCAAACAAGTTGACATCATCATGGCCAAACGAATCGATATGCGGTTGTCATTCTTTTTCCATATTTGAAGTCTTTTCTGCAAAATGTGACGGAATCTGCTTAGGAGTTTACGACCTGTCAGTCATTGCTCGTCTCGATTTTTTGATGCAACGGTGATTTTTGATGGCTTTTTGTTTGCAAACAGTTGATGCTTCTTTGTTTTGATCAATGAAATCTATTAGAAAAAAGCCAGTCCTTGAAAAAATTGAGGGGACCCCAGATCAGTCTTACATCGATATGTGGTTGTCAGTGAATTTCCGTCTTACTTTAATATTGATATGCGGTTTTTGATGCCTATCTCGAACACTTCCCTTATATCCAAGTACATCAGCTATACTAGTTTAATATGGGTAATTTGTAGTTTTAATCTCCGGTGGGATAATGATATATTTAAAGCCGGATTTGCCTTGACTTTCTCCGCTTATCTGTCAGAAAGTTCCAAGGTGTGAAGAAATACACAAAAAAAGAGTGAAACTGAAGTAACATTTAGTTAAAAGTTTGGTGTTTTCAAAATTCGAACAATTTTGTTTGAACCTTCTTTAACGTTTGTCGGGTTGATCACTTTAAAGGAAAAAGAGCGCATGTATGAAATATTTTCTCAATCATGATGCGGCATGAAGGAAAACAAGAAGAATTTCTTGGACTACTATTGATTTTGATTTTCCAGATGTGATTTCACTCGGTCAAAAGTGTTTTTTGTTTGGAGCGCGTTTCATTGAAAATATTCGTACAAGCAGAACCATTTCTCTGAATAAACACAAGATTTATATTGCTGTCGCTCACATCTGGAAAGTCATGACCGCATCTGCTTTTTTTGCGATTGTTTTCTGAACATAATCTGTTATAGACGTGCTGCTATATAGACTACAATTCTGTCAAACGTCCGATCTTTCTTTCATGTCACGTCTTAGCCCATATTTTATGCTAGGTTATTAGCATATGGTTCTATCGAATATAAGTGTTTGCTTTTGTTGAAGGTTCTCGCAATTTCGAGCCGACTCCGTCCTTTTCAAGACACGTCTTCCTCCGGATAAACAAAAATGCTTCAGATTTGTATGAGGTAGCATTCGTTTGTCGTTGCTTCAATTTCTGCCTTTTTCTATCAGTTTGTGCCATGACTTTTTTTTATCATAATTATATTTATTTCGAGTATTTGGTATGCCTGAATGTTTGATATCTCTTTAGCTTAGCAATTTTATCGATATTCGCTTTTGATTGAACAAGCGCCCCTATTCAGCGAACGATTGTGCAGCTGAGTTTTGAAGAAAATTTTGCCCGAAAGTGCGTTTGCTTACTCATACTCGCCTGTTTTTCCCCGAGTCTAATCGTTCGATAATTTCAGTTTTCGTGACGGGTCTCATTCTCATGTCTTATTCAGTTTTTTCCCATCGCTTTCCATCTGCATTTATGTGTGTGTGTCTCTCTCTTGTCTACTCACAATGCTCAATTGTTCACCCCGGCCGCGAACAACATGTTGTGGTCTCGGAGAGGGGTGTCTCTTTCATATTGCTCCCTTGTGGTGCTTTAATCGTACAATCTTCAGCTTGTCCATCTTGCTCAACTTGCGTATTTCGATAAAGATGTAGTGCTTGTTGCATGTTCTGCGCCGTATATCTGTGCGGTCAGAGCGGGGGCTTCTAGACGCATTCCCAGTGGACACGGCGAAGCTGTTTGTTGAGTGAAGCAGGCACAAATGTGCATGCTCGGCATCGCTTTTACAAGGGCGATTTTTATGGTCTGCCCCGTCGAAAAATCGCGAGTGCTTCGGCCGGGCCGTGCGGATGCTATTGGATTAATGCATTCTGATTCTCCCCCAGCCGGGCATGGGATGTGCGTGCTGCTGCTCCGTCCGTGCCTTCGGCTCTCAATGCATCACGTAGCGAGAGCCGCGGCCCGTGCGAGAGCGCAATGACGTGCTGACAGAGTGGAAACGAAAGAAAGCTGATTAATGCCTAATATAGGGGAGCGTTGAGGCTGAGACAATATGCAGCCAACGCGGATTAATGAGCCTTGGGGCATTATTAGTTTCATCATCGCTTTTTATGCAATTTCTAAAACGAAAAACTGATGACCTTCACGGGTAATGTATTCGTGCTGCTCATGTGAGAATCTATGGGTTACGGTAGGATTATAATGAATTACGCCTAGTGCATATCTTTGCACAACAGAATGTGTCATGCATGTGGTCCTGCACATAATAGTACGAAAATGCCCATAGCCCGTGAGTAGGAGGAAATAGTTGTTAATATTTAATACTCTGACCTTGAAAATCCGTAAATCTTGATTTTTTTTAATGTGAAGTCCTGAAGAAGAGAACTGGATGGAAAAAGCCCCTCTAGCCTCATTATAGAATTTCAATCTTTACTGGCTTGAAGGAGCGAAGTTCTAGAGACTGGATCTTACAACCAGCTTTGAGACGTCGTTTTGGGACAGTTATAACTTCATGGAAAAAGTGAAATCAAAAGAGAACAAGAATATTGTAGGGCTCACTCTGTATCATATCACTTTTCCCGTACTGACAAAGGAAAAGGTGTGGCAAAATCTTTCTTACAGCACTTGGAATTTTAGAGGCATTTATTTGCAATCAAATGTGTTTTAGTACCAAAGAATAAAGTCTTCTCTTTTTCAGAGAGTTTTTTGTTCAGGTAATTTTTCTCCAATATTTCAAGAGATATTACTGAAGATCGCTTCTTCTTGACCTCATCATATTAGCGCTTAAACTTAGACTTCATACAAAATGACCCTCTAATCTTGATTACATCATTTTTGATCCGGCTTGGTTCTGCACTCGTGCCATATCAAACTTGCAGATTATCTGGACAACGGCATTTACAAATAACAAGATGTATTACTTTGTGACAAAAACCTTGCTCTGGAGCGCTTTTTGTAAAATGTGCCGATTAAGTGTAGCGGTTACAGTATCTGCAAAAAAGGACATAGTCATCAGCTAAAACGTTGCTAAATTTGATATCGGAAATGTCAGTCAGAAGATAAAATGAATAAGCCACCTTGACTGATGTCTACATATTGGCTTGCAAATGTTTTATATATTGGGTTGAACCGAAAGTTCTGTCGCTTTGAACGTGAAAAAATCGTAAACTGCTCCCTATGTGAGCGTATTGACTTATAAAAAATACCCCAGATAGAAAGGTTCATCTACTTTCTATTATCATCTTCGCGATTCTCTGAAAACAAGGGACTTCGGAGATAAAAATTCGAAAATGGGAGCAACTCAAACTCCCGTTCGAAAATAAATCGTTAAAAATCTGACACTGCAAAAAAATCCGAGTGTTTCCTATAAGTTCTGTGAGCTGCTCTTTCTAGCAGTGCCAAATTTGTGATGAGCGAGCTTTTCCGTGAAAAGTTGTAATCTTGAAAAAATGTCGAAAATGTAAAAAACGTCATTTTTGCCTTTTTTGCATTTATGAAAATCATAACTTTTCTAGAGAAACTCAATCAGCACAAATTTGGCACTCTTAGGGCCGCATGCACTATTATCCCCGCGGGGAGGGGATCGCAGCTTAAAAGAAAGCTTTATATTTCGAAACTCCAGATACCTGGATTTCACGTTGTGTACCCATCCGTAAGTATTCCTACTACACTTCACTATGAACATGTTGAACAGGAGCGAGAAGCTGTACGAACCGCATTTTCCAGCTTTTGTATGATCCCTGATGATCCTCGGCGCTTTTCTTTAAAGTCATTTTTCTTTCTGCGAAGTTAACAAATAACCTCCAAAGTTGTGCAGATTATCTAACCCGACAGTGCTAAGCATGTTGCTGATAAGAACAAATGATGTTTTGAAGTCATGAAATTTTCGATGGTCCATAGGTCGAAATTTGAGGTTTACCGAAAAATTCGACTTTTCAAAAACTCATTTGTTCTCATCAGCAACATGCTTAGCACTGTTGTGTTAGATGTTCAGTACAAGTTTGGAAGGTTTTCGTTAACTTCGGAGAAAGAAAAACGACTTTAAAGAAAAGCGCCGGGGATCACAGGGATCATACAAAAGCTGAAAAATGCGGTTCGTACAGCTTCTCGCTCCTCTTTAACATATTCATAGTAAAGGGTAGTAGGAATACTTACGGATAGGTACACAACGTGAAATCCAGGTATTTGGAGTTTCGAAATATAAAACTGTCTTTCAAGCTGCGATCCCCTCCCTGCGGGGATAATAGTGCATGCGGCCCTTAGAAAGGCAGCTCACAAAACTTTCAGGAGATATGCTCTCAGATTTTTTTTGCAACGTCAGATTTCTAACGATTTATTTTCGAAATTCGGGAGTTCGAGTGGTTCTCATTTTCAAATTTTTATCTCTGAAGTCCCTTGTCCTCAAAGAACCTCAGACGACAGTGGAAAATAGATGAATTTTTCTGTCTGGGAGTGTTTTTTGTAAGTCAATACGCTTACATAGGGAGCCGTTACGACGTTTTCAAATTCAAAGCAACAGAACGAACTTTCGATTCAACCAAATTCTTGTAGATTTATTGGGACTTACAAATAAACTCTTATAAATTTGAAAAGATTTAGAATTACAGTTTTTTATTACAAAAACATGCCTCATCAAGGTTATCACAATTACTCTTGAAACCTCATTTACGCTATTTTTGGAAATTGTTTTCTACAGATGAATTTTTGGTTCTCAGTTCTTCTTTCGATATAGCTCAACACACATTATGCACAACCGCAATTTCCGAATCGGAGGTTTCTAACGCAAAGTGCATCTTTATCTTGTGACAGCTTACGTAGCCATTGTTTTTCTCCTATCTATTACTCTGCACATTATGCCTCTGAGCCGTCTTACACCTTCAAATCCGTTTGCCCCCTCCCCCAATAAGCGCATTATGGAAATCTTCAATAACGCTCTCTCGGAAAACGTAAAGGGAGCGAATGATCTTTACTTCTTCACATTTGGAGCGTTAATTATTGCGCACATTATTCGTGGTCGTCGACGTCGGCGCGACGACGACGGCGAGCGTGCGCGCGCTCGCTCGCGCTCGGCCGTCGATAGTTGCGGGCGCAGAAAATATCGCTAATTAAAGTAGGAGCTGGGGGAGAGAGCGGCCAGCGAAGCTGCACGCAGAGACGCGACGACAGGCCACGAGGCCGTAAAAGGATTTCATAACCCCTTAGTCTTATTGCCTAGAGTCTTTCGAGCACATCAGGGCAATGGGATTTCCATAGAAACACTTGTACACATGCGCATAAATGTCACATAGAAACAATTATTACGTTGTTCTCGTTGCATGCAATCATATTTTTAGCTTTGACAGGGCAAAAAAACTTTTCTCAAAAATTCCCGTTGCAAGAAAGCACACAAAATTTTTGTTAAATTTTCCGTTTCAAACCCTGGGCAGAACTATAAACAAAACTATTAACTGCATTAGTCTTGAGCATTTCTGGTTTAAGAAAGAAAAATTATCACCTGAAATTGTTGCTCAAGTATTTTCCATGCCAAAAACATTGTTTCCTTTGAGATATTTTTTCTTCAAAAGAGCAAAATCTTTGCCGTGCAAGTCGACCATCATATCTCATATTGTCTTGGACATTTCTTTTTTTTTTTCAAAAGAGTAAAAATACTGGGATTTATAGTCAAAGATTTCAAATTTTTTCAAAAATCCAAAACTTCAAAGAAATTCCACGATCCTTGAATTTATGGGTCGAAAGCGCTCGTGCCGAAACTATCATCTATGAACAATTTTTTCAATGTTTTCATGTTTTGAAGTTTTATAAAAGGACGAAACCCACACCTATATTACCAACTCCAATTTGAACAGTCCCCCTTTTGAAGAAATAACTATCACTCAGGACTCGATACATTTTCCGCTGTAAAAATATTAACTAAGATTGGTTCTGAGAAATTTCTTGTTGCAAAAAAAAACACCCACACTTACAAAACCGTCCCAATTGTTTTTCAGACAACTCCTGTCTAAGGAGAGAACCACTTTTCAGAAAGATGATTTGCCAAATTTTTTGTGCGGGATGAACTCATACCGTACGACAATATAGCTTCCAAACTTTGTACATTGTTTTCTTTTATCCACATTTTTCCTAAACATTTTGCTGTTCGAGGAAAAAATAACAAACATACAACTTTTTCCTAATAACTACTGCTTCCCTAACGCCTCTCATAAACCCATTTATAAGCTTTACTAATTATTTTTTTCGAGGAGAGCACGAAAGACATGCAGCCGTCGTGCTGGATGTAATTCTTTTTGGCTTAATTATGGATGCCCTGCTCAGTCATTATGCCATCGGCTAAGCACGCATACATTCTGCACGGAATGTATTCCAAATTGCTAATTTTTTCCCCATTTCACATGAAGAAATGGAAAATGTCAAAATCGAGCTCAGAATGCTAAATAGAGTCATGCATTTGAACTCAAGTTTTACATCGAAGGAGAAAAAGCCCAGGGTCATATGGCGCAGGTGTTATTCGCCTACTGCGCTGTATAGTTTTATCATTGTGCTAGAAGAGCAGCTAAAAAGGAAATCAAGTGATTTTCCAGATTGAAAAAATCTTAAAAACCCGAAAAGTACGAGATTCGCCTCATGCTGAAAAAACTTTGAAGTTTTTTGGGGAAGCTTCTTGTAATTTCTAGTTTAGTTTTCCTGGTCAATGCATACTCCGGAAAAGTAGGAAAGCTCTAACAAAAAGCTGCTAGAACAATTATTTGAGAATCAATCATTAAGTACGAAAATATCAGAGTTTGCAGCACGTAGAATAGTAGTTTGAGTCACTCCGGACTGAATTTTTTAAAAATCAAAAATGTTTCTCATGATCTTAAAGTAAAATTTACATGCTAGAGTGGCTGAAGCCGTTACTATAATGCGCTGGAAATTTCAAGGGGATTTGATGTTACTCTTTACTTTCCTGAATTCGTTTCCCGCGCTGCTCAAACTTTCTTTAAACTTTTTCAAATCTACGGCCTACAGTCTATGTGTTGTTATACAAAATGCTGAACAAGTACGGTAATTATCCGGTCGTTTTGCTTTTTTCAATTCTAGATTTTGATTCCAAAAACCCAGCTACCGTAGTCTATGCTCATTGATCTCTGGTCATGATTAGATATAACGATGTTATGTTGCTGGTCTTTGCAATCTATGATAGGATTCTTTATCCTTGAGCTGTTAGTTAAGTAAATCTCGGCTTATAGCGTAGGTGAAGACTTGCTGTTTTGATGTTCTGACACAGAAATTGATCTATTATATTCAGCTAATCATCAAACTCTTCGTTAATTTCATTTTCCATTATTTCCATTTGGTAATTGTGCTTTTATCTATTCAATCCATTTTTGCTTTTGAGCATTTAAAAAGATTTTTCCAAGCTGAATCAATCTGACGTTAGTGCTTCAGCAAATTAATAGCTCGGCAATATCTCCCATCTAGCTCACATTACCATGATCATTAGTTGGAGTGCTAATCGTGATTTCTCTGGGGAATTATCCACATCTGACATCATGAAAGATACTTGCAAGACTTCCACGGTGCGCACGAACAAAATCGCTGTATCTCAATGCTGTGACTAGTTCTTATTAGATGATATAGAGTGCATTTGCACACGACATCTTTACGACCTGAATGATGTCAGAGGCGAGCGCGTCGTCGTCGGAAGAAAGCGCAGCAGTCGAGGCGCTGCGAACGGAAATGAATCAAGCGCAGAAAAAGCGCAATCTTATTGTGGTGTCGTCGTCGGTTGTGGAAAAACGACGTTAACTCTCACTTTTCCCCTCTCGTCATCCTCGGGAAAGCTAAGCAGCAGCTGCGCTTTCGCTGCGTACATCTCCAAGGGGGAGGGGGTGGTCGAATATTCATCGTTTGACGGCGTATCAGATGTGCTTAGTTGATGAAGCTGTATGTGTTTCTATGTGCCACACATACACACTCATACACATACGCACACATCTCACACAGACACACATCGATTTGCCGCAAAGCTGCTGGCGAAGAGGGGGCGCCGCAGTTTATATGGGCACATGCATATACATAGTCATGGCTACACACACACACATACATACACATAACACAAGCGCGGACGAGCGCAGGCTATCATTAGGCGCCGCTGCGGCGGAAGATGAGAAGTGGCCGGTGCGGGTCTTGGCCCTTTTAGCTGGGTACAGTAGTCCATAGGCGGTGGAGGTGCGGAAGTGGTTGCAGAGGATGTGCGTGAGGTTCGCGCCGGCACACGATGTAACCAGTTCCCCAACGAAGACGCAGAAAGCCTTGCGCGATGCATTTGGCGCCCTGGCCAGTTCTCCTTCATCGCCGCGCAGCTCCTTACGCCTCAGCTCATCCACAGCTCCACCGCTGAACTCCTTCTCCGACCCGGGTTTGGTCGTCGCCTACTAGACCCTCTTCCGGTGGTATCGATTTCACCGCGACCACACCGAACTCGGTCTTTCTGTCCGTCCATCGTAGTCGGTCCGTGTGTGTGTGTCCTGGCCGTGCTCGAGGCGGAATCGATCCAGGTGCACTCATGCGCGCTCCACTGGCGCTCCATGCTGAGGTGCGGATGCTCCGCCTCGGGAAGCACCTCCCCAACGTAGCCGCGAGTGTCTCCGCAGCCGCAGTCGGCGGGTGAGACTCGTCTCAGTCTCAAAACACCGACGAGCCTGAGACACCGACACTCCCTACCTAGCTCGCTTGCGCCTCGCTACAGTATCCGCCAACCATGCCCTTCCCCAACCCACATCTTCAAGAACTTGTTATGCGCCCTTCCATATGTCCACACACAAGACGCTCTGTGAGTATAGTGATTGTGTGCCGTGGTACTATGCGTATGTGTATGCGTATGTGTGTGTATGTTTGCCAGCGAGAGTGTAGAAGGTGTGAAATGTGGCGCGCACGCGTCAATGGTGTAATTGCAGGGCAAACACACATACACGCGCACACACACGCTACGGCGCGCCCACCTTTTCTATAGGGGCCACACGGTGGTGGTGGCGAGCGCGACAATGGAGGACAGACCACGACCACCACCACCGCCGTCGCGCCAACAAGGCCAGTATCGACGACACGCTGCGGAGAGACGCAGCCAGCCCCACACCCAGAGCAGCCTCATCGACATCGTCAGCGGACCTCATCTTCCTTATAAAGGCAGTTATGGACGATTAGCTGGAAGTAAGTCATAGCTTTAGCTTGCTTCTGTCTGTCTTTTCGAGATTGAAAATTTTCTTCGAGAAACTGGAAATTGCAGCTGTTTTTCGTTGCTTTTTAGAGATAAATGGGAATTTTGCTTCGTCCGCATGAATCATCATTTTCTTCAAAATACACTTAAAATGCTTTTCAGGCTACAGAGCTGGACTTTTTTGAATTCATAAGAGATTTTGATTGTTATCTCGTACAAATTCCATCCATGACGGGTAAAAAATAAATTCGGGGTTGCACAAACCTTCTTTCAAAATATTCGATTTTACTAGAAAGAGGAGCTTGAAAAGACATATTTGTCTTACAAAAAAAAGAGATCGGTGTCCATATAATCTTTCAAAAATAAATTGAAAATAATTTATACTCGAAAGAAAATTCGGATTCTCCATATTTTTTTGAAAATATTCTATCTCACTAAAGAGGAGAGTTTTAGTTCTATAAAACATATTATTAACGTAACCCGGCCCCGCACTTTCTATGAATAATATCATCTTTCTCCCATAAATTTGTAATGAACAGTGACGTTTTTTAGTAACCCTTTATAAATTCCATTTTCAACACTGCTTTCCATTTTTCCTATTCTCCAGCACGTTTTTTCACTTTCTGAGCGCCGGCGATATGTTTGAATAAATAAATAGAAATCAATAAAATGGCAAACCATCATGAGTTCGAAAAGTACATGTTTCGATTGATCTAGAAAATGAATAAAATCGTTTAATCGATTAGAAAAGCTTTTCGGGTTTTCTCTCATTGTCTGACGTCGTTCTCCTGTTTAACTAAGTCCGTCTGATCAGAAAAAGAAAAATGTGAACATTTAAAAGTTCGAAAAATTCAACATTTTGACATTTTCTGTCTGGTTTTGAAAAAAAGGGAAAATTATGAACGTCAAGTCTGTCAGAAACTGAAATCAGTAGAAATTTGTAATCGAGAAATCTTCATGCACGAAATTTACACAGCTGCGACTGCTATAGGAAAATTTATGTGCAAAATGTCGATTCCGAAAGTCTCGCGGTTTAGCAGAATAGTTTTTGTGTCAAGTTCATTTCGTCATAATCGTAACAGCGCAATCTACCTTTCGCGTGCGTCGTCGTTCCCGTACCTAATTGTCGCTCTACCCTAATGGGTAATTTCAGAAGGGCAATTAAATGTTACTATCCGTAATAACAATCTCTACGAATGGGGAAAATCGAACCGCAGTAGCGGCGAAACAGCGACCACATACCCATTTCTAGAAGCGAATTGCTACGCTCATCTCCCGCATAGAATCGTCAGCTCGGCACGATAGCTCGGCTTTTTTCAATGAGTTGTTGATTGCCGTGTGGCGAAGAAGACGGCTGACTTTTGCGCGCTCATCATCGTTTCGCGAGATGTGTGAGTCGAATCCCCTTCTTCTTCTTCTTCTGCCCCGAGTCGAGTCGATCTCGATCTCGATCTTCACGCTTCAGTGCTCGCTGCATTACGACTTCACCACCATCGGTCCGTTCGTCCCATTCCACTCCATTCCATTCCGTCCGTTCCTTTGCCGACTCCCTTACGTGCCGCAGAGCTCGCTCGCTCTCATCAAGCAACACAAGTAAGAATACTGTTTGCTGTAACTGGAAACCCATCAGAGCGTCATTGTGCGCTCGCGCTTCGTTCGCGTTCGCGTTCATTCACAGTGCACAGCTCGGCTTCCTCCCTCCCCCCCCCCGCCTTGCCCGATGCTAAATGCGCTTTCTCCACACAGCTAGCACTGGCAGCAATAACAAAGACCCTATTTTCCCTCGCCTCGGCACGACGATGCGTCTTGTGCCGCCGCGCTTTCATTTCGAATAGGCGTTCGCATTGGCCGTTCCTAGCCCCTCCCCCCCCCCCTCCCCTCGCCAACCATCCCGTTCTCGTTATCAGATTTCACCCCTCCCCAACTGAGAGAGGAGTCGAGGAGGAGCGCTATGGGAACTAGTTTTTTACTCGTTTGTGCTGCACAAATAGCCCCGTCGTCGTCTCGACTGGGCCCCCAACAGTCTGTGTGCGTCTGTGTATGTGTGCCCGTCCGTCGTCACCACCACCGTCGATGATGTTGTGATGTGTTCGAGTTCACACTCACTCTGCTCGCTCTCTACGCCAATATTCCAAGCTTTGGCTTCGGATGAATGGAGTTCTACGTGTGTATGTGCTGTGTGATTCCGATTCCGGTACCGTATCCACGTGCGCTCTATGAGAGTCCAACGGCGAGTTCTGCGGTTTCCGTTCGCATCAACGCGCTCACGCTGCCGCCGTCGCACATACGCTCCTCATTCTCATTCCGCACGCCTCACGCCTTCCTTTTCGTCATAACGCCTTCGCCTTCGGTCGGTCCGTCCGTCCGCTCCGCTCGTTCGCTCACTCGCTCACTCGCTCTCTTTCTGCCCCCACCCCTCCTCCTCGTTATAGCCATGCGCCACACCACAGCGCAGTTATGCATATTCGCTCGGGTGCGAGTGCGTGGACATGGCGGGTCCGAACCTCATCTTCCACTTCCACCACCACCTCCACCACCTCCACCTCCAGCTCCTTCCCCTTCCCCTTCCCACTCGTCCGCTCTCCTGCTGCCCTAGGTTAGTTTCCATACATTTTCTCCTTCCATCATTAAAAAACATCCTTTCACTATCGTTTCGCGTTTGTGTTTGATTTTTGCCTGACCCCGCCGCGAGTCAGCTGCGGATCGTGCGCGTCCACCCCACGTTGCGAAATAATCGGGATTATCCGGAAACTCGGTGTGCGCTGCCATAAAATGCTCTCGGCTCGGATTATCCCCTCTAGACGGCTCACCAATGGCCCCAAACCGGCTAAACATAAGCACACTGTATTGATAGCGCATGGCATAGAAAAGTAGAACATAACAAAAACGAAAAAGAAACGTCGACTTTTTTGCATTTGTGGAAACGAGGTCAGCTTACGAAATCTTACAGAAGTGAGTCAGCCATCGTCGTCGCTGTAAAACACTGTGCTGATCCATTTCGCAATTCTGCAGAAATGTTTCGCAACAAGGAAAAAATGATGGCTTTTGTGCAAATAAGCATTCACTATGCGTAGGAAAAATGGGCAATTTGCGGCGGAATGGAGAGCTAAAATTACCGTAGGTTCGAATGAAAAAGTTGTTCAAAAAAGCATTGGCGTATGTCTCATTATCTCATTTTTTTGACGATATGTTCTTTTCAAATTTGCGGTTGAGAACGATTAAGGGAGCAAAAGTAGAGGATCAATTACAAGGCACAAAGTGACAGATAACGGCGTAGATTTGTCTTTTTTCAAGAAGTTCATAAAAACTACAAAATCTAATTTGCAGATAAAATTACTCTTATGATTCTTAGAAAAAAGTGCTGTAGTTCAAAAATCGCTGCATCAATAGTAAATTGAGCTGACATCATTCTGTAAATGGGTTTGTATTTATTCTATAAAAAAAACTTTACAAAAACTCGGCAATAATTGCAAATGGATTTAGCTACTTAAATGCTCATAAACCTGAGATGAAAATGTCACCTGAGTCATCGAAAAGATTAGCAGTTTGACCTCAAGATTATTTTAAATTTTTGGAAAATTATTCTACCGTATTCTTCTTACCCTACTTTTTCGCCGCTCTCAAAGTCGGCTGTCAATTTCGGCTAATGAAATTTTCTTCCCCGAAAACATTTTCGGTTTCATCACTAAGTCTCTTCTCCCCAAATTGTCTCCGTCCCCGAACCGCAAAGTCTTTAAATTGCAATAAAATTAGCGTTTATGGTAGCATGAGAGGTGTTTGCGAAGGGGGAACCAGCTAGCTTTGACCATGGGTGGGTGAAGTGTTTACGAGCACTAGAAATAATTTGCGTTCCCCCCCCCCCCCCTCCCCGCCGACCCGTTGAACAAAATTTCAGACCTGTTGAATTTTTTTACTTGATAAGACATTATGCGATGTTTGTCCTCCCTCCTCATTCCCCCCCCCCCCCTTACAGAGGCGAAACTGTGCGAAGCGCGTCCCATGGGTTCAAGTGGTACATCTCGCTACAACTCTTGACCTTCCTTAGCGTGATCGCAACCTCTTTGTCGTGAACAATAGAAGAAGAAACATCCTATATTTTAAGAACTGGGTTACCCATAGGTAGGGGAGATGCGACCTTTTCTAGGGGATATTTTCGACTCTGGTTTGGATGTGTGTATGGGGAGTGTTTATTTAGAAGTTATAAACACACAGTGATTCGAGGGACTTCGACGAGTGCTTCACGAATAAATAAAACTGTTTTTGTTTCATTTCGTTAAAGCTGTTTTCATTCATTCCAGGTGTAATGGAACTTTTTGTGCAAGTCGTTAGGAAACTGGCAGCTACTAATGAAGTCTTTTTGGACTCTAAAGTTGCTTTTGTCGGCTTTTTTAGTTAGAAACAATTCTATCAGGTGAAGCATTCATAACTATTCTTAAGTTGGAAAAAAGTGTTGCAAACTGTCTTGGAGAAGTTAAGTAGCGTTTTCGCAGCAAAGAAATATACGAAATCAATTTAATTTCGTTCATTCCCTCCATAAAAAAATAGAAAGGAAGGATTTCACAGGCGTATAAAGGATACAAATTCGATTTTCTTGTGATGTATAGTATGAAAATACATCACTGTACTGAAATTATTTGAATCACCATGAACAAAAACTTCGTGAGGAGCAAAGCCTCAGAAATTTTCTGCTGCACCGGAAAAATTAGATTTCTTCAACCTATTTGATTACCATCTGATCAGATAATATACTTTATTAGCTTTTTGAAAAACTATTAGATAGCGACAAAGCGCAGTCAACGTTGCAAATACTGAAATTATTGAAGTGAAAAGTGTATCCATAATTTATGCTATCAAGATTGGGACTCCTATATCTTTCAATTAGTCTTTTTCATCTTAAATTAGGATTTTTTTACGGGGGACTTTCTTTTCAATATTTTTTCGTTCTAGAACTCGTGCTTTCTGCCAGACGTAAGCACTTGAGTTTTACGAATGTTACAAGTCCCCCGTAAACACAGCTCGGCTTCGTACTCGGCCCCAAATTACGTTACCCATTACTCCAATCCACACAAAGCATTTATCCCATAGTAAGCGCGTCCGGCGCGCGGTACTTGGCGGGTGTGCAATTGCTCACAACGGACGAGATTGTAAAATGACTTATGCGTCATAAAACATTCAACTGGCCGAGCGTTAAGGGGACTGCCTAACTGACTGGGGGCTGTCCTGTGCCTGGCTGGTTGGCATTTTCAGTCTTCAGTGCTCTCTTTCACAGGGGGGGGGGGGGCTCTGTCTGTGTCCGGCGCTCTCTCCACGGGTCGCACTCCATACACATACACAGCACACACACACATATTCGCGCTCACGCTCACATTCACATTCAACCGGGGCCCAGGCCGGGGCTGGCCAGGCCAGAGAGGCAGCCAGTCAGCCAGGCAGTCACTCGTGCGCTCTAATTGGCATCCAATGAACTCCTCGTAAACCTAGCGGCGAAATTGCTGTGGCGCTCGGTAATTGCTGGCCGCCAAGTTCGAATTCGAAAGCATAGGCGGCACACACCGCGCACATACATACACTCGCACATACACATCGGCGGGGCCCCGCGCTGGCGCTTCGGTGATGTCGACAGGCCAACCCCCCCCCCCGTTGTCCGTACACCTGCGCACGCACATACATAACCTCCACACATGGCCTGGCCACATATAATTCCACTACTTCACTTCCTCTTCCACTCCAGCCTGAAAGGTGTATTCTACGCATTCACGTACCTTCTGGTCATGTTTGCCCATTTGCCGTCACTCTACGCGGACGAGATCACTCCCATACGTATTCAATGGCTGAAATCCGAAACAGTCGGGTGTTCTGTTACCACTATCGCTCCCCCCCCCCCCCCTGGTCGTGGTTTCACGTCGTGGCCGCTTTGTTTCCGTTGAGAGCATCCAAATATGGCGCTCTTTGATCGAAGATCGCGTTTCCTAAACCAAACAAACCAAATGGAAGAACTATCCGGTGTGAAGGACATTCACATAAGTAAGTGGTTTGTATGCTGTTCAGAATCAACAACATTTTTTTACTTCCTTCCCCCCCCCCTCCTCCCCTCCCCCCGCTTCCATTCTCTCCTCTTCTTCACGAGCCTTTGACTGTAGAATGGTGAGTTATTTTTGAACTTTTCAGAGTGCTACTAAACACAAGGGCATCCTTGTCATTCTTTGCATTTTTGATTAATATTTTCCCGGTCATACCCTCAGGAACTTCCGCAAAATTTTCGATAAAAATTTCAGAATTAGAAATGGAAGCTTTTAACAGTCATAAATTACTGTTAGGATCTCCGAGTATCTTTTGAATTTTGCATAAATTTTTGATTTGCTTTATTAGTAGTGAGGCTTAATGGTTCATAGCCTCATCTGGTCTCTAGCGAATATCGAGTAGGGCCCTAGCTCTCATTTCTCTGATTAATATTCACATCCAGTAGTTTACTTTCAGAAGTTTGCGATGAGGTCTTCTTTCTGCTGAAAAAAACACCAAAAAATTTTCTCAGTAAACCAGTTTTTTGAAACCAGTTAAAGTCGTATCGATCCTAATGAGTCACTAAGCTGTTCGGATCAACTACCACAAATTTTTTAGGATTTGATTTTCCGCATTTCCTGCCTAAGATGATGCAGCAGAGGTTATAAAGCTCTATTTTTTTTAGGAAAAATTGCTCTTTTAGCCCGTCATGCCCACGCGCATCAGCGTCGAGGAAATCAGCAGCAGCAGAGCAGATGAATTGACGTGAGAAGAACTAGTCAGTTTCTCACATCATTCTCTTTTTCATATGTAAATGCCGCGAGAAATCTTCGGGCATTGTCAGCCTCGCCTCGTCGACTCTCCGGGCACCGAGTTCGTTCCCAGAACTCTTCTTCGCTCTTGATTCGCTCTTGTCTTTCCTCTCTTTCTGTCCATCACTTCCATTTTGGGACAGTCCTTCCCGCCTGACACTTGTCTCAAACCTCATTTCATGAAGGTGAGCAAAGTCTCAGGTGTGGTGGCCGGTCCTAAACACTTTGCCCCTTTCATTTCTTTTCATTCTATTAATTATTTTCATATTCAAGTCATGGGAAAATGGGAATTCAGTTTGATATTGATTTTTCAATGTTGCGAATATGAATGAGTTTGAATTCTGTTGAAAGTTTCTGAATAGGAGCACGGGTATTGATTTTAGCGGAAAAGCGTATAGGAGGTTTTGGAGAAAAAAGGGAAAGAGCGAGAGAGGGGGGGAGGGGGGGGGGGAGAAATCAATTTCAGCACACATTTGACACGATTCTTTGGATAAGCTGATCAAGACTCATCCATATGCAAGAAAATGACGTCTTAAATTTGTTTTCTTCCATAGAGAGACGAAGGGGGGGGGGGGGTAGGCCGTAATTTCAAATTCATATAGCAATGTGGCGCAATTTGTCGAACGAGTTGAAAGAAGACTCAAGCCTCTTCGGATAGGCTAAATGAAAACTCAACTTTTGAGTGAAAAATGGAATTTTCAATTCATCCATTCCAGCTGCAACGTGGGAGAGACGGGGAGGAGGGGGAGCAAGTAAAATTCTGTTTTCGGAAATTTTATGATAATCCAGAATTATATGTCTAAAGGCAAGAGGAGTCCGAAGACTTCAGGTTTTGATGGGTTCTTTGTAACAGTTTGTGCTAATACAAATTGTCTATAGAAAAAGATATATTTGATTGGGTTTTTCCCAAGTCAACGAAGAACTTCCTCGATTTTCAAAAGTGAAGCATTCATAAGCTGAACAGCTTTTTCATTCCAGGATTTGGAATTCAAAAAAAATTCACGGATCTTGGAGCTGTTTTTTGTCCATCTCAGCATCAGATGTAATTGTCAAGCCAAATGGTGATATTATGTACAAGAAATTTCTTCAGTTTAAGTCCTGATCCAACAAGACTTCCAAGTTGATTGTCATAGGAAGGGCTAAAGTTCTTTTTCACATAATAATGTTGAAATGAGCATTGTAACGAATAAAACCTTTCTTTGGTAATGACATCATTACACAAGGTTAATAATGCTCTGCGCGTCATTCATTGCTCCATAATGTGAATATTTTATATGCTTTCGTGAATAGTAACTTGCGTGGGATGCACTCCTTGTTTTATACAAATCAGAGCTTTTAAATGTGTCGGGAATATGCGTAGTCAAGGCAGGGCTCGGCACGAGATGGCTGTTGAAAATGCAAAAAACGAAGTCCCCCTTGAATTTTGCCAATTTTCATAATCCCTAAAAAACCCCCAAAAAACGAAACGTCGACTAAAAAACGTCGCATTTTTTTGTTTCTTTGGCCACAAAAACGAAATCTCCTTTGTTTTTTGTCCCAAAAACGATATCCAGCTTGCGAGCGAAAGTTTCGTGTAAGTTACTTAGTTCTTCTATCTTAGCAAGTCAATACTGTGAAAGATTTTAGTCTATTTTTTTCTGTTGAAGAAAATTGCAAAAAAGGGGTTCCAACTATCTTAGACGTCGTTTATAGAATCCAGTGTTCTTCGCGTTGGAATGGTAAAAACTTCATGAAAAATAGAAGGTAAATTTAGCTTTTGAATTCTAAAGAAATATTAATTGAGGGCTTTCGTCTTGTTGTAGGAGAAAATTTATGATCTGTATTTGGAGATATCAAGCTTTGCCTATAGCAAGTTATGCTTTCCGTCCTGGGAAGAAGTGAGATAAAATTTTTTCTACTGTTTGTTTTAGCCTGTATCTCTCTGATACATTGTTCAACAGACATTGTGTCACTTCCAGTTTAGACAAATAATGCAAATATAAATTGAGTTTAGGCTAATCTTTATTAGCTTTCTAACCAAATGAATTGATTAAGAAATAATAAGGGGGATCCTCGCACAAGTTTTGTAAAATTTTTTTTCTTATTTTGCTAGAAAATCCTGACAAAATCTCATATTTGGCCTAGAAAAACTAGGGGCTATCCAGTAGCATCGTTTTCGCCTTCATAGATATGAGTTACAGTAAATGAAAAAGCAGTTCTGTAATTACACTTCAACCAATTCCTAAATCTTCTTTTTGGTCTTCTTAGGTTCTTTATGGCTTTCGGGAGGTGACTTCTTGGTGACATCTTCAGTCGTAAAGAATTTAATAAGATACTACGAAGAAAGTTCGGAAGTTTATGCTCTCAAGTAAAGCAGATTGGAAAATAGAAATCATTTGGAAAAATTTCAAAAAATCTAAATGGATTTTTTTGTGTGTGCCATATACATATCGAAATTCACATCCTCCACTGATTTGACACTAAGAAAAGATTTTTTAGAAAATGTCACGGAGATTTTTTTCCGTTAAGTGTAACAAAATCTATGAACAAACTAAGAAACTACGCTCTAGTTTTTTTCTTTCCATTCGTCCCCGTAAATGCGAAAATTATATCTCTTGATTCAAACCATATGGGGCAAATTGTATTAGAGGACAGATTAGGTCCTAGAATTTTCTTCCTCCTCTTTGTGACCTAAAAATCCCTAAAGTGAACAATTGTGTATTGTTATAGGTTTTAGTGATGCAATTGTGAGGTTACCTGTCGGTTCGAAAGTTCGTAAGCCATGTAACCTTCAATACCCTTCAATCCAAAAGTACCGATTTCTGGTGCAAGTGATTTTTGGCAGCCTTTTATGAAAAAAAAAACAAAATTTGTGTCGTTTTTCCTTGCAGCATCTGTTCCTGCAGTTTGCATTTTAGAATTTTGGACTGCTTTGTAAATAAAACTAAAATTGTGCAAATGTATCAAAAAACATAGAATTTATATATTTTTCAAAGATCTGCATGAACTTTCGGGCCAACCCATCATTACAACTAGTAATTTTTTTTTTGAAATTCCCACGCCTTGAATATTCTTTCAACAACTGAAATTATCAGTAAAGCAGGTAAAAATGTTACAATCAAAATTATTGCGACTAAGCAGCAATGACCCATCGACACAAACACACTGACACCGAACGATCTGCACAACAACACTGTAAAGTAGCGGATATAGCGTTTTTTGTTTTCATCGCTCTCTTTCTCTCTCGATCAGCCTCATTTCAATCTTCGCAAAGTTTTAATGACCACTCTTCGACTGCCCCGACGTCGTTTCTCTGTTGAGAAGTCTGCTGAAAACACAGGGCTTGTAGCTGGTTCTCCATGGGGGGAAATTTCCTGTCGTAAAACTTGAATAACGGAAAACTATGCAGTTATTCTTACCCAGTTAACTCGACAGTTGCTTGAAGAACTCGACAGTCTCATTGTTAATAAGTGAATTTTTATAAACAAAAAAGCGGCCATTTCGCGAAAAAACAGAAAAAAAGAAACAAGATTGCCGGGGGTCTGCATGAGATATTAAAATACGTAAGAAAAACTTTGTTGAAAAATATTCAAATGGCATTAAACTAATTTGTACGTCTGTGAAAGAGCGTGAAACGCTTTTTTTTGGCAGTGTTCTCGGTCTAGATGGTCCCAGATAAGGTAATATCGGATGGCATCAAATGTCATTTGTTTTTTCTGTAAATTATGTACGTCATAAATTTCCTTAATTTGCACTATCCACTTAGTAAAAAAGAGAATCCCTATATTATCAGCTTTGTCAGTAGAGGGGTGGTTTCTTGCATCCTAAGGCTGACAACTATAACTGAAAGTTGTCGTCAACGTATTAACTCAGATTTGGCGCGAAAAGGAAAGAAAACGCTAAATTGCAATTGGAAAAATTATTCGATTAAGTATTCATTTATTATTGTGAAAAAATGTATCTATTCTGCTCCACAAGGACTTGCTATTCTTCTGTTTTATTCATTTGAATTTCCTTTTGGAACATACAAATCTAGCGCAACTTTTAGGCTCCGAAGTCCGCAGCTTTCCTAAATGCCTGTTGGCATTATCTCCTGAAAGCCTTGAGCTCAACTTACTAAATCTCAATGTCGCATTATCAGTAAGAATCTCATTACGATTAGTGGTAAATGCTATCGAGCTATCATTTGCAAGCTGCGACATGGAACCTTGGACAATTAAAGGAGATAGAGCTGCTAATGAGATTGCTGCTGAAAGAGATAACTTTCTTTCTTAACAAATGTCACACACCATCTTCAGTGTGTAATATGTTATTTGGTGCTTTACAGAGAGAAATGAAAAAGAAAAGGGTGAGGTTACTCTTGCAGTTGCAGCATCAGACGAAATGTTCAAAGTTCACACACATCTGACAGGAAGTTCGGACCGGGCTCGGCACCAGCTGGCACCAGGGAAATTTTCAAAACGAAGTCCCTTTTAATCGAACTTTCGTACGAAGTCCCCTTTGACCCTAAACCAAATGTAAAGAAAAACCTTAAAAAACAAAACATCGACTAAAAAAACGTCGCATTGTGTTTTTTCGGCCACAAAAACGACATCCTTTTTGCTTTTTGTCCCAAAAACGATATCCAGTTCGACCGGATGCCAGCTGTGCCGTGCCTTGGTTCGAAAAATACTGAATCGTGACAAAACCGTCGCAATGGTTTGGCTTTTCCAGTGGTTTTTTAGAAGATGAAGAGTACATTATTGCTTTACACAATCAATAATTCACCGTATATTTTGAATTTCCTCAACGTCTCGCTGTCGCGTATTTATTTCAACAAAAACGCCGCGCGCGATAACTTTCTTTAACGGAGTTCCATGGATTTGCAAATATATTTTGGGGTTATTGGCAAATTTGTGCATTAGACAATGTACCTGGAAATCGAAAAGAAAATTTTTTGCACCAAGCATTCAGTGATCAATTAGATTGTTTTCATTGAAATTGGGGCTCGAGGTGGCTCTCCGTAAATAGAAAAAACGAAGTCCCCATGACTTTCGCAATATTTTACGAAGTCTCCTCTGACCCTAAGCCCAAAACGTGAAGAACTCAAAAAAGCAACGTCGACTGAAAAAATTCGCCATTTTTGGTCTTTTCGGCCACAAAGGCGATACCCAGCATGCTTATAAGCCATCTGTGCCGAGCCCTGATTGAAATTTGATCGAACTTACCGAAAATCTACATTCTTCGAAAAATAAATCTTTACGAATTAGCATTAGAATAAGTTGATGAGAAGGTTTTCTTGAATGTATGACAATGGCTTAGGTCCTACATAAGCTTCATTACAGTTATCCGATGTTAAGGTGCTTTCAAGTTGACTCACAGAAGCCGAGAGCGAGATTCCCAATTTGGAAACTTGACAGTTGCCGCTTTTGACCTCGCATTTCTTCACATGGACTAATGCTACTGAGGTAGGGAGCTCTCTGTGCAAGAACTTCAAGCATCGGTCACCTTTGGAGAAACAAGACTCTTGCCACACCAAAGGAACATACAATATTGCTAAGGTAGAAAATTTTTTTCCACAACATGTACTCACATCTTTTGCTGAACAATAGTGATGATATTTTGCACTGCAACCTTCTTATGCAAACTCCAGTGGCGAATCGTGTAGTGGACAATACTAGTTCTAGTAAGAAATTGTCCTTTAACACATTCACGACATTACGACCCACCTTTGGATTGCATGCCTTCTAAATCATTATATTTGATTTTTGCTAATTTACGATGAAGCTTTTGGGCAAAAAGAGTAAATTTTTGTATACGTCTCTTGGAGTATTTCCCGAAATCTACACTTCAGACCACAGCACCCATCAGTGGCAAGAAAATATTGCGCAAACTCATTGCCAAATATGCTTTGGTCCGAAATGGCAGTCATCGAAAATCGGCCTTGTCGCGAATGTGTTAATGATAGTTTACTCTAGGGCCGCAGTTTTTCACTTATCCATGCCCAAGCAAAAATTATTATTTAATTCTCCATTCCTTCCTATAGTTTTGAAGAGTGTCAACAAATTGAAGATTTCTGCAACCGCTGAAAAAAGGCAACAAAGAACGTAAAAATTGTATAATTCCACTTCGATATTAGTGAAGATTACATTGTATTTAATCTAATTTTATCAATATACGAACCCATTCAGAATTTTTATTATTCATCTCAACTTTTCCTGCACGTTCTTTATTTCCGGGCGGTACAATCTCTCTGAAACGATCAATAGAGACTGCATAACATGTACTATATAATTCTTGACAACAATATCTTCTCACACTGGACCGGTCCAAGGCTGAGGAACCTCTCAGAGTGAAAGAGTGAAGGTGTTGTGTGAGATAATTACATGACATAACATCAAAACAAGTGTCTAGATTGCTTGCTAGATGGTAACGGACGTTGTGTGTCATGGCCAAGAGGGACTATTTACCTCAGCCTGGGCAAAAGACTGGTAAACAACCCGCGCACGTAGTTTACATAGGGTCCCCCCAGAGATTGATGAGGGAACTGATGGCCGCCACAATGGTAGATTATTCATCCTTTTTACGTCCTTTGTCTATCAGAATGGAAAGAAAAGAATGGTATATTCATTGCGAATCAACAGTAGGAGCACGAAAAATGCGAGAGGGGTACCATTCGATTGAGCAAAGAAAACCTCCAGGATAATCTTTGAATCTTAGCATAAGTCGCGATTGACGCAAAGTCTGAAGTCAATATTCAAGAACGAATCACAAGAAAATCAAATCTTCACATTAGATCTAAAAAAAATTACTTGCTCCCACGTGAAGCAGACCTATGCTTATCTAAATATTGACTCAGCATGATACTTCATGGGTAGAAATCAAAAAGGCAAAATCCCCTCCCCCCCCAATAGACTTAAGCTCCTCCCATATTAACAGCCTTGTAACCTTTAATTCATCTGGCTTGGCGGATGGAAGGCGGGGGCTCTGTGACCTAATAAATGCCGCTCGCGCTCGCTACGCAGTCTGCGTCTCTCCCGCCTGCTCTCTGCTCATTACCTGGCCTCAATTAGGTCACAAAGCCCCGCCTTACCGCCGCCAAGCCAATTGAATCAAAGGGTACTATCGGAAATTCAACCATAGAATTTGGCCTCTTAAACGCTCTAATTCCTGGGACATATTGACTTCAGCCAATTTAGCCAAAAAAATGAAAAAAGCGACATTCTCTCCTTACAACCTAATACCACAATCAGTTCCCAGCTACCATATGCGACACAGTAAACCAATTGTAGCAGAAACCATCAAAAACTTGCATTCAACATCTGAGTCACCGTTGTGCAGCTGGTGCAACTAAAATATATCCCAAGCACATTTTGCAGCTAATTGGCGCATGAAATCAATTTTAATGCGATGTTCTTAACGCAACGATGACTAGATATATGGGTTTGCGAACAAAAGAATACTAACAATAGACACCTGAGCAAATAGCGAAATGCAGAATGAATTAGCATCGATGCGTCAAAATTTGAACTCTGAATAGCAAATACATCTTTGACGTCAGCATTGCTGAGGGTTTATTTGACCCTAGGTGCTCAAATTTGCTTTGACAATCTTTCGAGTATTTTTGCCAGTCGCGTTCCCAAACAAGGAGACGCTACACCAAGGACAAGGATTCAAGGACTCTGTGCAGGTAGGTATTTTAATCTTTTCTAAATTAATCTAGTCAGCCTTCCTTCCTTACTGAGGAGTTCCGTGAAGGGCTATCAAATATTCTTCATCTCCTTCTAAGGGTAGGAACGAAACGGAGTTTTGATTTGCATTTTATTTTTTAATCATTACATCTGAAGTTCCTTGCCCATAACTTTTAGTTAGGTTTAATTGTCAGGTGATAAGCCATGGAAAAACTTTTGCGAAAGTCAGTTTGGCAGGATTTCACTCCGGAAGTCGAGCAGAATTTTGAAACTTATATATTTTGGTACTCGAATATTACAAGGGTCAACACTGTCAACACTTTAGATAAGCAAATGAATGAAGAGCTGTTGAGGGCAAAATTACTTTCGGCTTGTCTTAGCACACGATTGGCCTTGGTGATGAACGAAGAATTTTGGCCTAGACGACGTCAAGGAAGGAAACTGATTCAATTCTGATGGCGAGCACTTAATGATGCAGCGAGAAATCCCAGCAGAAAGTGTGGTCATCCACAAAATTCAGCTCATACGTTCTGTAATTTTAATTGGTTCAAAGTATGGTCATATGTTAGTCCTATGCCTTTTGTACGAGGAATACACCGAGCTGTTCTCAGAAGAACGTCGTTTACTGAACGCCTGTTTCAATTACTCCTTGACATTACTTCTTATTACTGCTGTTTAGTCAAAAGTTCTTTTGGAATCGCGAATAACTTTGGTTGATTATTCTTTCAAACTTAGAGTACTAGAAAAATTAGGATATCCATCCACTATATCAAAACTTAGATCTTACATCTCCTCTACATATCATGTATCAGGCTGATTTTGGTCACGGTTCCATATAGGTCAGAAGTCGAAGTGGCCAAGTTGGACAAACTGCATTCTCAACCTTGCCAGATCAAGATGTAGAAACCGAACGACCAGTAGTGCGCTGAAGCTGCGCTATGAGTGAGTATAATATGCGCTATGATACTCACTCATAGCGCAGCTGCAGCGCACTACTGGTCGTTCGGTTTCTATTGTACATCTTGATCTGGCAAGGTTGAGGAAGCCCTGAAGAAGACGGACGGTCCGCCGAAACGTTGGCTTTTCGTACAATAAAGTCTTGCTACCAACCTTGGTTAACAGCTTTAAAGAACTGTATTTACAATTTGAACCACAATGCCAAGGTTTATCGACAATCGAGCACGAAGTCTTGTAAAAAACTGCATACAGTTGGATGCAGCATAGACGCAAACTGTGATTCTCTTTTCCGTATTTGCTGAGTGAACGTCTTTGTGGACGTAGTTATGAGCCATTATCTTGCGGCTCATGCTGGGCCACATGCAGCTATTAGGTTGGTAAGAAAGTTCTCGGACATTTTTAGAGAAGATCTGCTTTTTTTCGAAACCTTATGCATATACATCAGGTAGAGGTACCATTCGATAGAGCAAAACAAGCTCTATAAGATGGTATGCGAAAGTTCGTACCAGTTTTGACCGACCTAAGTTTACACCCAAAATTTGAGTCGTACCGAAATTCAAAAAATCTCTAAAAATTCACATCTTTGTTCAAACAAATCCTACGGATCTCCGACTTGCTCATAAAAATTGCGGAACACATCGCAAACTCATATGCACCGTTCCTGTAAATTTTGCTCATCTAGAAATCGAAAAAACGAAAATTTTCATGCTTGTGTAAAAACGAAGCTGTGCTGTTTCCACCCATGTAATTAAACAGTACAAGCCCTTAGAAGTATAACCGTAAATTTTCAGCTTTCTACAGGCCCTAGTTCCCGAAAATTACCGAATTGAGCGCTCCTCACTCGGGCGCTCCATGCTAAAATCAATATTTCTCGACAACTAGGGCTTACAGAAAGCCAAAAATTTCCGGTTATACTTCTAAGGGGGTGTACTATGCAGTTACACGTGTGGGAACAGCGTAGCTTCGTTTTTGTACAAGCATGTAAATCCTTGTTTTCTCGATTCTTAGATAAAGAAAAAATACAGAAACGGTACATATGAGTGCCTTATGTGGTGTGCAATTTTTGTGAGCAAGTTGGAGATCCGTAGGATTTGTTTGAACAGAGATATGAATTTTTCGCGATTTTTTGAATTTCGGTACGACTCAGATGTTGGGTGCAAACTTACGGTGGGTCGAAGCTGGTGCGAACTTTTGCATACCATCTTGTAGAGCTTGTTTTGCTCTATCGAATGCTCTACCTCTATCTGATGTACATGCGTTACGTTTCGAGAAATAGCAGGTTTTTTCTGAAAATGTCCGAGAACTTTCTTACCAACCTAATAGCTTGCTTTACCTATTCCGTGCCGCGGGAGAACTAAAAGAACATTAATGTGTTTCTTTTTGCCAGTTGTAGATATTCACTTACAATAACACCACTCATGACTTCATCCGCAAAGGCGTTCAGCAGTCAGTGGCGGTCGAGGATTTCCGTTCGGGGGGGGGGGGGGGGCGAGATTTTTTCAAATGAAGGTGGTGGTGTTAGCCACCCACTCCGAAAAATTTTTTCAGGTGCTTTTCAAAATTATGGGCCCATAACCCCTAAAATCTAGAAAAAGGGAGTGTAGCGGCAGCCACGTAACCGAAAATTTTTTTTACAAGGATGACTTAAATTTAAAAAAAAATTCAAAAATTATATTAATTTTTACAAGAACAAACAAGTCACTTGCACATTTTCTGAGTCCACGTAAGCAAATTTCGAAAATTTCTCGATTTGTTCCCGGGACTGGTTTGGATTGCCCACTTCGACTTGCGACCATTCGCCTGTGAGCTAACGGAAGTACTTTTACATTGTAAATGAAGTGTTATGTCTCCTAAATGTGAAAGATAGGTTCTGTGGTGAAGCTGGAAAAAGAATTTTTGCTGGAGTTTTCTTGCCCTCAATGTACTTCATGACTGGCATGAACATAATACTTTGTACGAATCAAGCTATAGGTACACATCTGCCACATACAGGCTGTCTTCAGAGGGCAAATATATCGCTCAGTTCGTTGGAGGTTATCAGACCTTCTGAATTTCTTCTATCAATCGGCTATCCTCGCTATCCGATTTAGGTATTCTTGAAGGCACCGTCCAGCCAAAATGGGGCCGTTGACATTTTGTTGCCTAATGGTAGTGGGACCCTCAACTGTATACTCATCCAACTCGCGCTGGCAAAAGTTGCTTCCGAAGCGAGAAATTTGCTTCGAAAATCGCTCGGATGACAAATTCGCCACTTTGGCTCCTCCCTGGGCGTGACGTTCGTCCCGCCCATCCGTACGCGTCCTACCAATCACCGTTCCGAAGAAATCGCTCTGCGGTTCTGAAAAGGGGGTTTTTCGTGGTTTTCGCGGATTTCCGACTTGTTCGGAATCAGGGGTATGAGAAGGCCCTGGAACGGCAAAAACATGAAGGTCGAAATTTTGGGTGGACGGTGCCTTTAAGTTTTCGAGAAGCACACGTAAATGCGATCTTTTTGCAAATGTGCCTTAAATGTTGAATTTTCAAAAACGTAAAATTGCGCTTTTTTATATGTTCACAAACAGAGTACATACCACAGTTCAATCATTGTGAGAAAAATTCATTTTAGACTTACTAAGAAAATTCGAAACAGCAAGCTAAAACCATAATAGAAGAATGTTGTTTTGTTGCTTAGATATGTGTTTTGTCCCAAATATAATGTAATTTCACCAAAGCCTCTTTAGCGGAAGAATAGGGGAGGAAAAGGAGACAAAATTTTTTGTGCAAATAAAATAGTTCGCTACAGGACCTCTTTTTTATTGGATA